CAACAGATGGACATAAGAGATTAGCTTCCAAGCCTTAATTACGATAGAATTCAAGGAAATTCTAGAAAGTCGAGCAATTCAAGAGACTCATAGCAATTCTAGAGATTCAAGAAATTCAACATAACATGCAGAACAAGAGCAGTCATCATCCTAAACTATGATGAAATTGTGGGAATTCAAGAAAATCAAGCCAATCAAGAATCGTAATACATCGGATATAGTTGTCGAAATGGAAGAAAAAGTATTAAAGGTTCATCCGAAGGTCACTGATAAGTCTGAGAACTGATGGATTTGAAGGAAATCAGAGGCATCCATCGATGTGGGGTGGGTGAGGTGTTGGTGGTCTGTAGTTGTGGTTGTGGGAGGGTGTGGGAGGGTGTGGGTTTGGATGGATATGGGTGATCATTATTGTCGGTTGAGAACAAGACACATGAACATATACCCACAGCCACATAATTCAAAGATATATGGATATGCTGAATTCCTTCAATTTCCTTGAATTGCTTAAATTTGTTGATTTTCTTGAATGCCTTGATACTTCCAGGGACATAATTCAAAGAAATATGGATATGCTGAAATCCTTGAATGTCCTTGAATTCCTTGAATTCCTTGAATTGGTTAAATTCTTTGATTTCCTTGAATTCCATGATACCTCGAGGGAATATAATTCAGAAATATTTGGATATGTTCAATTCCTTGAATTTCTTGAATTGCCAATTTTTTGATCCTAGGTGCTGCTGAATTAATAATAGAATTTGAGTTTGAATGAACGAGGCGAAGGGCTTATAATAAAAAACTGATGACACAATTATATATAAACTTTGTTTTTGATATATTTGTTTTCATTTCAGATAATATATGATTATTGACTCTGTGGTCATTCTCATGATTTTTGTTTAGCCTGTAAGTATTAATATTGATACTGAATAAAAATAGAAAAAAAAGAGGGTATGTGGTGGGTGTGGGTGCAGATGTGAGTGTGGGTGTCTCTCAATATTTATTACACCCACGCCCATACCCACATGCCCACATCCCACAGGCACACGCACACGCACGTCCACATCCTAATCAACAAGAATAATGTGACGTTCAAACAGTTTTGGATGCATAAATAAAATAGATACATCAATAACTGATATATATATATTTATACTTTTAAAAATAGGTGGCTATAAATATAAATTATAAATATCCTAACGTTCGGTTAGGTATGGTTGTGGGTGTGAGAGGGCGCATGCATCGTTGAAGAGAAGGTCAATACCCCACACCCACCCATCCGCTTATAGCATACTAGCGACTGGCTTCCTTCTTTTCTTCTATGTACAAGTTGCTTACTAAATCATGCAAAAGAGTGTTTTAAAAGTTTCAACTCTTTAAAAACACTCGCAAGAAAACTTCTTGTATACCCTACAGAGAGCACTGTTAAGACGCGTTTATCTTCGATTCGCTTTATTTTTGTCTCTATTTTGATTGATGTTCTGAAGACGATTTATTGCGCAGTAGGAGTATCATTTTTCTGTTAAGTTATTTTAAATTTAAATTTGAAAGAATTTAAATTTAAATTTTCTAATTAGTTTATTTTTGGATTTAATAAATTTTAGAACACGTAAGTTTAGGGTGTAGGTGTGCGTTGCATATTGACGAAAAGCCGACACCCACACCTACACCCCCAAGCTTTGTTCTCATAGACTCCATTTTACCTTCATGTAGCTTATGACAAAGGTGAAACATGCTATTAAAAGAGCAGATGATATAATTTTTGGGAACATTATCTTACAATTATGTTATGCGAAATATAGCATAAGTCTTTCTTTTCATGAAAAATCTAGTCATGTCATTCTCGAAATCGAATAGATAAGTATCTCATTCAATGTCAATATTTGAATGAAAGCTTTATGTACTTTACGAGAGAGGAACAAATGAAGGTAGCGATAAGAATTAGTGTTGAATCCACAACGTCTCTTGTGCAAGTACAAAGCCTGCAGTTGAGAACCAATAGAGGTAAATATGAATATTGGTATCCCGTTTAATTGATTACTGCTTAATAGTTGTCCGTTAGAAATTAACATTATTTCCGAATGTAGCAAAGACGAACCGCATTCTTCCCATTTTTGTCTATAATGGCTTTTAGTTTGATTATAGTGAACGTCATTATTGTGTCATACCAGGAGTCACTGTGCACGTAACAACAAAAACACAACTGTATCAATGACAATGGCTGCTCTCGCGTCAAGGAGATCAGGAAGTAAAAATTTAGAAACATTCTATCTGCTTTGGTTAGACGCTTCAGTCAATGCCACTGAAGAAAATATCCAGGCTCAACAATGTCTTCGTACATCGATCAATTGTTTGGAAACGTTTGAAAATGATCAGCAGTGCGAGTGTTATATTCAATCTCTTTCTTCTCAAGATCGGGTCGTTTTCATCGTTAGTGGTCGCTTAGGTAAAGTGATCGTACCTCGTATTCATTCACTTCGACAGCTCTCCTCTATTTATGTCTATTGTATGGACAAAAAGACGAATGAACAATGGGCTAACAAATTTGCAAAGGTAATAAATATTCTTATTCGATTGCCACAAAGAATGACAAAGTTAGATATAGGCTAAAATAAAACTTTAATTCATTATGAAATGTAATTTCTGAACTTATAAGGCTTAATTTTTGAATGATTATCCTTTGCAATAGATAGAACTGGAAAACCACTACTAAATAGAATTGCTTGTATTTTGAATACATTTTATCATAGATGAAGACAAACAATCGATTCTTTAACTGCAAAAATTCTTTCCAAAATGAAATCATACTTGCTAGATTTCGAGATTCTAGTTAAAATTCAATAATTTCTTAATGAAACAGAATTATTACCTAAAATTTTTAGGCTATGTTTCTAGACATCCACAGTTTAAGTACACAAATTAATCATTTTTCATTATTCTTAAATTCCTACTAATATTACAATATAGGTACATAGCAATATTCCATATTTCTTTTCCTAAAAGATGAACCGAACTAACATTTTTGTTTCACTGTTGGAATTCGTTTTCATTACGATCAATTCTGAGCCGTAGATAGAATGCTTCGATAATTACAAAGATATGTCTAAATTATTTATAAATTTTGGTTTCGCAATGAGAAAAAGTACAACAGTAGAAAAAAATGATAGAATAGTAAGTATCATCAAAGTTAAATGTTTCTACGAAAACGAAAGAATCTTACAAAAACTAATCCTCTCTAGACCAAATTTTTTCTTCCATGGTGAGTATCAGAGTTGCAACTAGAAAGTTTTTCTTCGGCCCATTCGGTCCGGTGGTGAAAAAATCTGTCCAGTTCAGTCCGACCAGCAACCAGCCGAATGAATTTTCCTGCCACACTAGCAAAAATCCAGCGAAAAATAGCCGGTCCTAAAGTACCTGTTGACATAAAATGATAGCGAAAGAGACTTGAATATTCATGTGTAAAAGTCCGAATTCAACACTAAAACTTGAAAATGAAACTCTCACCATCATATTTTATAGCAAGATGCGTCGACGTTTCGAACCAAATGTCGATATGAATTACCTACTCAGATCGAATTTGTTTTTTCATCTTTATTTCAAGCAATAAAAAAAGCAGGTTCATAATAAATCTAACGCAAAAATGCAAAGGCTTATTTTCCTTGACTCTAATAGCTGTCTAAGTAAAACAAGAAAATGAATCATTAGATCTAAGTTGAACTGAGTGACACACGAGAAAGAAACTGACAGAGGTTTAAAGAGAACAATTAATTGCTTATAGTCAAGTCAAAAACAAGACACCTATTGAGTCTTTCGCAACTGAAACGAGCCACATCTTGATTATATAAACCGTTGGAGAACCACCAACACTTCGACTATATCTGAACCAAGTAAGCTACGTTGTTCCTTGGCAATCTGTCTTGGAATGAAAAAGTGACATTCTAATCATCGTTGCCAATAAACGAAGATAGAAATGGGAGAAAAGGACATGAAGAGATGATGAGTGATCACAATTGACCACAAAGACACGAGAGGAAAGTACAAATCAGAACAATAATTTTTCAGTGAGTGTGAACGAGTAATAATGAATTGAACGGATAGTGTAAAGAGAAAGAAGCGAGAGACTGACCTTTTCTTTTTTTTTTCTTCTTCTTTTTCACTTTACTCTTTTCCAATTAATACTGCAATCTCGTTACGATCAACAGTCGCTGTCATTAAAATTAAGATGTTGCATATGCCCTTACTTGTACCAATGTTAGTGCCGCGTGTTATCTTCCTACTTCGACTCACTAGTAATGTTCTAAACATTCTTCCGACCTGAAAATGTTATAGAAACGCCGTTTTCACTAAAGAAAATTTTCAAGTACAAACAACAATTTTATAATGATGAACTGACAAAAAGCTGGTTCTGTTTGAGCTGGCTTAATTTCTTGTCCGGTCTGGGCCGGATTGGTTTCAATTCTGCTTGGCGAATATGCCAGTAGCTTCATGCTTCAACCAAAAATTAACTGTTGGTGAGAGCTTCTCTTGTTTTCTTGATGAGAATAGATTGCTTCACCATATATTTCATTTTTATTGAATCTGTTGTTGATCTTCAGCTATCGTAGAAAATTTTCAATACAAAATATATCTTTGCGTAGTAGATTCTCTCAAGCTTTATTTATTAAAAAAATAATTGAAAAAAACTGAATTCTAGGAAAGTAGCCATAATATTGCAAAAACGAGCAAGTTTCTTTCGGGATTACCATGTGGCTTTTAAGATCTTTCTTATACTGTTTCTTTGAAGCAGAATGATCAATCATTTGTTACAGGTCAGAGGTGTGTTTATAAAGCTGGATGACCTCGTAGCTCAAATTCGAGTAGATCAGGAGAAACAACACCATAACAAAGCTGACGAAACACTTCCAATCAGTACTTTCAATGCGAGTGCTGCTCAGGAACAATCGACCACTGGTATGAATGGTTACTTTGTTCATTCACAATTATTGATTGACTGTTTACTTCGAATGAAATCAACATCAACAATTAAAAATGAACTAATTGCTGTGTGCAAACAAGAATATAAAGGAAACACGGCTCAACTGACAATTCTTCGCGAGTTTGAGCAAGATTATTCGCCTGATCGTGCTCTATGGTGGTATACGAGAGATTCGTTTGTTTATCGATTAATGAACAAGGCACTTCGAATGCAAAATATTGATCTTCTCTTTCTCTTTCGATTCTTTATTCGTGATCTCGAACAACAACTTGAACAATATCGATGTACATCTCGGATCCGTCTTTATCGAGGTCAATTGATGTCAAATGATGAATTGCAGGTATTGAAAGATTCGATTGGACAATTGATTTCAGTCAACTCATTTCTCTCAACGAGCCTTGATCAACAGCAAGCCCTTCAATTTCTCGGCGGATCATCAACTTCAGATGGTGTTGAACGAGTATTATTCAAAATCGTTGCTGATCCTCGGCTTGAGGGCATCAAGCCATTTGCAAATATCAGTTCGTTCAGTTACTTTTCACAAGAAGAAGAAGTACTCATTATGTTGGGCTCGATTTTTCGACTAGTCGACATTCATCAAGACGTTGAACAAGTGTGGATAATCGAAATGAGATTGTGCAGTAATCATGATAATGATTTGAAGTTAGTTGTTGATCAACTGAAGAAAAATCATGGTGAAGGCGATGCAGAGACAAGTCTTCTTTCATTAGGTTTTATATTGTTGGATATGGGAAAATATGATAGCGCTGAGAAGTATTTTTTTCGTTTTCTAAATGAACAGTCAAATGATTATCAAGGCATTGCTCGTTGTTATTATGCACTGGGTAATCTGGCTACGAAGAAAGACGATTTAGATTCTAGTCTGGTCTGGCATTTCAAATCGCTTGAGATCAAGCGAGAAAGCTTAAAATCTGACAACTCTGAACTGCGAATAGTTACACCAGCATTGGTATAGTTTATCGAAAGAAAGATAATTGTGAGGAGGCACTTAAATGGTTTAGAAAGGCATTACCGATACTCAAACGAGCATATGGTGATGAACATCCGGAGGTATCAAAGTGTTTGAATAATATCGGATATGTCTACTTACGGATAAAGAATTACTCAGATGCGATGAGCTGTTTCCAAAAAGCATTGGTCATTAATAAGAAGCATTTTACTGCATACCATCCTGAATTAGGTGTATTACACAATTCAATTGCTGAAGTACATCGAGGCCTTCGAAATTATGATGAGGCACTGAAGTATGCTACTCTTGCTCTAGAAATTTTCCAGAAATCGATGCCTCTGAAACATTATCAAACTGCATGGACGTTTGAAATCATGGGAAATATTTATGAAGACAGGAAAGAATTATTTGAAGCTTTGGATTATTATCGTAAAGCTGCCAATATATATTGTGAAGCATTGCCTGCTACACATTATTATGTTGTTTCTAACAAGCAAGCAATCGATCGTGTCTCCTCGCAAATAAACTGAACAGAGTTGTTTGTAAACGGATGTGGATGTGGATGGATGTGAAGAGACTGGCATCCACCCACACACTCACATCCGCACCATTGTATTTGAGCATCTTACAGATAAGCCTTACCAAGTGAATAAACCTTCCATGTGAGCTTATTTGAACCCTTCGGAATAAGTACTGTTGAGCTGATTGTTGGTGTAGATGTGTGTGATTGTTGTTTTTTCTTTCATCAACCAACGCACACCCTCGCCCCACTCCACACCCACATCCGATTCGACTGTTCGATTGAAATCGAGAATATCTTTTTTTTCATTTTGCTGTTTATAAAACTGCGACCAGATCGGCGTAAAAACAAATTCTGATTTCGCAGTTCATGAACACTTTTAAAAAAAGACAATTATACCAATGTTAATTCAGAAAACCGAAGCAATATTCTATCTTTTGCTTTGAAAAAACTGATTTCTTGTTTACTCAACACAGTAAAAATGTTGTATCTATTACAATGTGTGTACTTTCCTAAATAGAAGTTAATTTTTTGAATGTATTAGATACAATCTAAGGTAGTGTCAAAGTAAAGATTTTTAAGAAGAACGATTTAAAGGAACTCTTGTAATACATAATGTAAAAAATTGTTGAGAGTTCACGAATAACAGTTATATCGTATTTTAAATTTTAATTTTGAAAGAATTATACTAACAACTTCTGTTTTCATCTATCAGGTTTTGGCTATTTGTTTCAGGAGCGATCAAATATTTAAAATTAAACAAAGTAGAATACAAAGGTGTTCTCAGATTATAATTTCCATATCGTAATAACTTAATAACCACACTAGATTACTTCCTCGAATTTCAAAGGCAAACGTGGTCTTGTCAATCGTATTTGTAGCTGCTCCAACGAACTCGGTATGATTTGAACTAATAAAAAATTTCGACCGTAGCGATCTCTTGGTCGAGAATAGATGGGGTACAATATTATATAAAAGTCTGTATCTCATCCCTTTTCAAAATATGAAATGGTGTGCTTTATCGATGTTGCGCCCAAACACAGGCACGGCTTCGCTCACCTTTGTCGTCTTTTCGAATAGTCATGCCTCTCCCATATAAACTTAGAGCTTCGTGTGTCTAAAGCGAAAAGAAAAATAATTTATTGACTTGTTTCATTCATCACGTAAAAATACTGCTGCTTCTTCTAATATAAAGATTTATGTATGAAAAAGAATGTCATATGTAAGACAAGTGTTAATCAATTATAAATACGAATGAAGTATATCAATGTATTTTTGAACCTTTTGTACTTTTTCATCATCAGAACCGAAAGCCGAACAAGCATGAAAGAGAGAACGTTCGGCATGTTTAACAGCTGCCTGATAATTTTGAAGATCTTCATATGTTCTTGCTGTATTGAAATGAATTACGTACAATGATGAATAATTAGGAGATGATGATGCTTCTTGAATATTGAGTGATTTTTCATAAAATACAACAGCCTCTGGTTTTCTTTCCATGGATGAATAAATCGCAGCAATGCTACTATATATTGAAGCTAATGATGGATCATTAAGAGGCAATATTTTTTCACGAATAACTAATGCTTTTTGATAATATAATAAAGCATTTGTTTTATCTTTCATAGCATTATAAACGACAGCAATATTATTATAAGTGGTACCTAATGTTTCATCATCTGAAGAACTTGTTTCTTCCTGTATTTTTAAAGCTTTCTGATAAAAGATTATGGCGTCTGAAAAATTTTCCATTGAATGATGTATAGAAGCAATATTTCTATACGTCGACGCTAATGATGAATCATTAGGAGGGAGTGTTTTTTCACGAATAGCAAGTGCTTTTTTATGAAATAATAAAGCATTTTCTTGATCATTCATAAAGTCATAAGCAACTGCAATATTATTATAAGTTGTCCCCGAGGATGGATCGTCAGAAGAAAGTATTTTCTCTTCAATCGCTATTGCTTTATGATAAAAAGTTACAGCTGTTGAATAGTTCTTCATTGAATGATAAATGAATCCCATACTGTTGTAGATTCCTGCTAAGGATGAACCATCGCTCGACTCAGATTTTTCTCGAATGATGAGTGCTTTTTCATAAAACATAAGAGCATTTTGATCATCTCTCATAGATTTATAAGCAATAGCAATATTGTTGTATGTAATTGATAAGGAATAATCATATTTGGATAATTTACTTTCTTCGATTATTATAGCTTTTCGATAATAACTGATAGCTTCCGAATAATTGTTCATTGAATGATAAATAGATCCGATACTACTGTAAACATTAGCCAATGATAAATCATGTGCGGTAGGATCTTTTTCACGAATAGAAAGTGTCTTTTGATAATATGATAGAGCATTCAATTGATCATTCATGGCATTGTATGCGACAGCTATATTATTGTAAGTCGTGGCTAATAATGTTTTTTCATTAGAGGGATATTTCTCACGTATTCTACACGCTTTTTCATAAAATGATATTGAATTTTGATAATTCTTCATCTCATAATATGCTAGGCCAATGTTATAAAAAGTTTTTGCTAAATCTAAATGATCTGATGGCAATAATTTCTGCTGTATCGTTAATTCTTTTTCGAAAAATGAAATAGCCGTTAGATAGTTTTCCATCCAATAATGTGTAAGACCTATATTGTTGTATGATGTTGCTAATGATTGATCCTTGATTGACTTGGAATTTTGTCGAATGGCAAGTGCTTTTTCATAAAATGACAATGCTAATGAATGTTCTTTCATTGAATTATGAACTAAACCAATATTATTATAAGTTGTAGCTAGAGATGGATGATCTTCTGCATTTGATTTAAATTGAAGATCGAGAGCTTTTTGAAAATATAAAAGTGCTTTTGTATTATCTTCCATTGAATGATAAATTAAACCAATATTATTGTAGGTATTAACTAAACTTGGATGATTTTCTGAAAGAGATTTTTGTTGAATTACAAGTGCTTTTTCATAATAGGCAAGTGCTTTAGATTTGTCTCCCATTGAACTATAAATTGTACCAAGATGATTATAACTATTAGCAATATCGGGATGATTTTCACCCAGAGAATGTTGACGAATTTCGAAAGCTTTTTGATAGTAAGATTGTGCTTTTGAATTATCATCCATTGAATGATGGACAGAACCAAGATTATCATAAATATGAGCAAAACTAATATGGTCTTCTGCAAGAGATTTTTGTCGAATATCAAGTGATTTTTGAAAAAATGATAACGCAGTTTCATACTCCTCCATTGCATTATGTACTGAACCAATATTGTTGTAACTCATAGCTATATCAGGATGATTTGATGGAAGAGATATTTCACGAATTTTAAGAGATTTATTATGATATTCAAGTGCTTTTATATGATTTCCCATTGAACAATGTATGGTACCAAGGTTGGCATAGCTAATTGCTAAATCCACATGATTAGAAGGAAGAATTTTTTCTTGAATTTCAAGAGTTTTTTCATAGTATGAAAGTGCAGTTCGATCATCACCTAATGAACTATAAGCTGATCCGATATTATTATAAATACTTCCAAAATCTGGATGATAAGCAGGCAAAGTTTTTTCTCGTATTGCAAGTGTCTTTCTATAGAAATCAAGTGCAGCATTGTAATTACCCATTGAACTATGAACTGATCCGATATTATTGTATGTAGTTGCTAAACAAGGATGTTCGGAAGAAACAGAATTTTGTTCAATCTCAAGTGCTTTTCTATAATAAGATAGAGCCGATGAATAGTCACCCATTGAATGATACACACCAGCAATATTATTGTAGGTAGGAGCCATGGATGAATCATCTTCAGGAATAAATGGTTGTTCTATTTCGATTGCCTTTTTATAGTATAATAATGCATTAACATAATCACCCTTATGACTATAAACATATGCAATTTGATGATAGAGATGCCCTTGTTTACGCCAAGTTTTTTCATCTTTAGCATTGAGTTGTGTATCGAAAATTGCTTCAGCTTGATTAAATTCACCTAATTTCAACATTAAATGTCCTAATCGATCCAAAGGATTACCGCTTCCAATTTCTTTTCTAAAATGATCTGTCAATGCTGTGAGTGTTAGATCATTGTCACCTGTTAGATTTAAACAAACAAGCCAATATTGATCTTGAATATGTTGAATATCGACAATACGAAAAACGGTATGCATAGAGAAAAGAATTTCATTTTCATATTTGAATGAACTATTTTCTTCTAAATAAGCAAATGGAACCGATGATTTGGCTGGATCAATAATCATTTGAAAGAGTACTGCATTTACTTTTGGATTTTCTGCTGCACGTATGGCAAATTGTACTGAAACATTTAAATCAAGACTGGTTGACAAAAAATTATTGAATGAAAGAAGACCACCAATACTGTTTTTTAATCTATCAAAGTCGTCTAATAACATACTTTGACCACGATATACTGTGATTTCATGATGTTTATCCTTTTGTTCATTATACATGTTTGTAATTTGTTTATGAAGATCACTAATAAAAAAGCCCATTTTCATAATACTTTCAATATCTTGTGATCTTAGAGCACGATTCATCATTGAATATAAAAAAGACTCTTTCGTATACCATTCAACAGCTAATTGATCATTGTACTCAAGTTCAAAGTTATCGATCAATCCTAATTGATATTCATTATCAGCATATTGTATACGACAATATTCGACTAGTTTGTTTTTCTCTGTATAATCATGTGTCATATCGAGTAGAATTTCTTTAATTAATTGAGTATACATAAATGATTTGTCGAGTTCATTGGATCCAGTATCTTGAATCTCTGTTTCGTTCTTCGGTAGAATGCTAATCGGAGGGACACTACCTATTTGACCACTATCAGCTTTAATTGCTAGAAAAATCTGTTCCATATTATGAAAAATTCCTTTGACTTTTTGTGCCCATTTATTAGCCCAAGTTACTCGTATATGTTTTTGTGGATTTAATATATAAATATATTCAAGTTGGGGTTTACCGAAAACAATTGGTACAAGTTGTTCACCGACTATATCCGAAACAATAAGAACAACTATCTTATCATTGAGAGTATTAAGAAAATCGACACATTGATCAGAGTCAGCTAATGTGTGAATCGAGTTAGTAATGCGATGAAGTTTAGTGATTGAGTCATGATAGACCTTTCCAAGATCTTCTATATGAGGATCCACCCAAATAATAGCCAAATTTTGGTTGACATCATACTGCGAATGTATTGATGGAGTGGCAGACTTTTTTCCACCAGTAGATAATTTAAGAGTTGTCGAACTAGCTGTGGATGAAGCGCTTATTATTCTTTTGTCTGCACTATTTTGAGATGTGGCTGATTGTGTTCGACTTTGTTTACTAGCCTGAGATGTTGCACTTGTTATTCTTTTTGGTACACTATTTAGGGATGCGACAGAAGGTATTCGTGAGTGTTTGCTAGTCTGAGATTTCGCACTGATTATTCGTTTGGTCTCCTCGTTTTGTGATGATAAATTGGGAACTTCTTGCGGTTTTTTATTGACATTGCCTTGAAACAGTGTAGGGTTAGTAGCTTGAGTGACTGTTGATGATCCACAACCCATGGAGAACAGTATTATTTTGTTTTAATAGTATTTTTAAATGTAAGCTTCGAAGTAAAAAAAGAAACTTTCTCGGTAGCAAGTTGCTGCAGTCTGTTGATGTTCTTCAACTTTCGCGGAATCAAAGGTTGCTTTTCTTTTAAATAAATATTTAATGGCCATGTGTGTGACTTCTCTTTCTGTCAGCATTGATGTGTGTAAAAAGGAACGGAAAAAGAAGAATTGCTGTTAATAAGACAGAGACATGTTGGAAATAAAAAAACTACTCAACGTTTGTTAGGATGCTGGTAGCGATTCGACGTAGGCGACTATGATGAATGGTTAAAATAAAATATTAGAAAAATCTAGAGGTTTCGCTGACAACATTATAGTTTAAAAACATGTGAAGTGATGTTTTTTCTTTCTGACTTTCTTCATGTCTACAAAATAATTCAGTCTGGTCTTATAAAACGACAAACATTCTTCCAGCTTTCAATACAACAAGCATGAAAAAATAAACAACATGTTTAATTCAAATAATTATCTTTCGTTTTGCTCCTACAGTGATCATCAGAATTCATCTATAAGAACAGGTGTGTGTGTAGGTGTGGGTCTGGATGTTCATTGTATCTCAACCCCCACCCACATCAAAGCGACCGAAATAATCTGATTAATCGATTACAAGCAGAGCTCAGATGTGATCGGTTAATAGAAAACAATTAAAAATAGTTCATTGTTTGGCTAAAACTTTCTCCTAATCTACAATTTAGATTTAAGCATACAGCAATGCCAACAGTACTGATATTGTAGAGCAGTATAAAACTGATGCTAGTGCATCTCTACTTAGAAACAGGTGTCCCCTGTGATCAGTTGCTTCAAAACGAAATTCATGATATGATAAATGGCTTCGAAGCTTCTTGAATATTCGAATAGCTACTGTGAAACTATAAAATGAATTTAATTTCAGCATGAGAAAGTTGATGAATAGTGTGCTAGAGTGATATAGGTAACTGGTCGGTATTGAAATACGAAATGACGCTAACAATACGACTTTCCACCTGAGATGTACTCTACTTTCATCGCATCTGTAAAACAGATTCAGATGATCACATTTTGTCATGATGTATGCTTTTTATTTTGCCTACTGCATTTCTTTTTTTTTCACGCCCTCTATCTATAGCAATCACCGATAAGAACGAAAAAAGCTGAAAAATGCACAAATATCAACTAATGTGCGTTACACGAAATGGCTTACATACGCAACATACACTTTCTTCCTCACAACATAACGCACATTTCACTATAAAATAATAAGAAATGGCGTCGTCATCACGGCCATGTGTCGTCAATCAGTGTAAGCGACCATCTCGAGCTTTGTGTAATTGCTGCCAACAGTATTTTTGCCGTGAACATTTAAAAGAACATGATGATTTAATGAATGCTCAATTACCATCTTTAGCCGACCAAATTAATGAACTTTCAGATCAATTTAATAATGGTGCTTTACTAGAACCGACTGGTCTTACAGGTCTCAAACAATGGCGTGAGGAAGCTCATAAAACAGTTGATCAATTCTATGAGAGAAAATCTCGACAATTTGAACAATTTATTCAAGAAAGAAAAGACAAACAAAGAAAAAACCTTAATCAAATGCGAATTAATATGAACGAATTAATTCAAGAACAAGAAACAACACAAGAACAGATAAATTCAATGAAAGAATCTATTCAATTTCTTGAACAAGATATCCACAACCTTCAACAAGTTCAGTTCAATATTAGTCCATTGGTAATTAATGACAATCTCATTTACATTCCTCAAGAGATAATGTCACAAGATCGGCTGTTCATAGCATCTTCACGTCATACAAAGCAATCAACATCAGACAAAATATCGAACAACGATAATCATATATCAACACAGCAAAAACGTAATCTAGGCTTTGGAGGTAAGCAAAATACTGGTTTTTTTTCAAACCAATCTTTTGTTTTAGGTACAATGCCGAATTGTATACTACTTTTTTCATAAAACAGTCATGCAATATACAAAAATCTCTTGATGAATATAAAAAACTTCCCATACAATCAGTTTTCAGTATATTGATTAGTTTGTTACCAAGAGGCAAGGTAGTTTAGTGATTCATTCTCTATTTTCCCATACTCTGTTCTTCTAAATCGAAATTAGATTGAATATCGTCTCTATCTATTATCTTTTCCTCGTATTTTCAAATTTGAAAATTAAATTGAATTCAACTTTCTAATGCACACATCTCTTGTGTTCTAGATGCTAGACAAATATAGATGATTCGACAGTTGAAATGCCCTTTTAAGTTCGACATTGCTGAGTTTACAAATATATAACTTAATATATCAAAGTTTTTACATAGGATGAGGAGACATTAATATAGAAAATTCCAAAACAAAATTTCAGGCAAGCTTTAGAGTATCATGCAATCGATTCTATACTCATTCGATTTTATGCCAGAAAAAACCAGTGTCCCATTAGTTCTGTTTTATTAATTGCATTTAAAAGAAGTTTTATAATTGAAAAATGTCTTACAAATCAATATAACAGCGAAAATAAAATTGCGGATATCATAAAAATAATATAGACGGTTAATTCCATCTTTTTGTTTTCATTAATAAACTTAGTTAATTACAATTCTAGATAGATTTGCTTCAAGCAGTGTCAAGCGAACGAGATGGGAAGTTGAACAACAAACAACTGGAATTACAGATAAGATGAGAGTAGATATATTGAACATAATGAGTACCTCGATTGATACACATGGAACTGGTGAAATACAAAGAATATCCAACGACGTTAAAAGTTGGCTTGATGAAACTTATGGAAAAGGCTGGACGGTAAAAATTAATGATGCACGCACTTATCAGCCTTCTTCCATACATTTTGGTTCCAGATACTTGAAGTTTCAAGAAACAAGACTGGGATGGACTATTGTAATTTTTAAAGAAACAGCATGATAAAAATATATAAGACGATTGACTATATTTATAGCATATGTCTCATTTATGCCTCTATTTTTTTTTACAAGTGTAAAGAGTGTGAGTACGACTAAAGAGAAATGCAACATCCACCTTCTTAATAATAGTGAGATCGAATTGAATAGTTGATTTTTAAGTTTTATTGAAGATATAAATAATAAATTCGAGTACTTTAAGATACAATGTATTTTAAAAGTCCCTTTCTAAAAGTTTTTGTATTCCATTTCACTATTGATTGAATTTCAGTCACTGGTTTTTATTTTTTTGAATAATAGATAAACGTAAAAAGCACTACATAACATTTCTTTTTTAATAACTTTGTGTTGTTGAGTGATTTGAACCTTTAAATTATCCAGTACTGAAACGATCCTTTTACAGAACTTCAGTATTACTGGAAAGAGGAAACAGGCTAAATTTTTGTGTTTCGACTATATGTCTTAACATTCAACAATGCTTTTGAAATTTGTCTTTAGAAATAAAAAACTCCGTGCATTTATCTATTATTCAAAAAGAAACCTAGTTACTGAAGTTCAGTCAATAGTGAAATAGAACGAAAAACCTTTTAAGAAGGAACTTTTAAGACACACTGTATTTTGAAAGTGTGAACTCGTGAAGCTCTTTAGTGACCTTAACAATGATAAGTGAATTTGTTTTAGTAACTTTTAGTATTGCAAATCGAGAAAAAAAACAGACTTTTCCATTCATAAGCACAATCATAGTCATTGTACAATGTTCTTTGATTAATACGTTTTCTCCTTCATTCACTGAAATTAGAGAGAAATAAATCATTGAGAACGATCGAAGGCTTACGAATTTTATTTGTGGACTTGAGAAAGTCATTCGTTTTACGAGAAAATTTTATAGGCGAAATGATTTGAATGAATCCGCACGGAGTTGAGAACTGAAGACTTGAAGCCACATCTGATGAAGCCTTGTCGTTTACCTAAATTTCTTAATAGCCATCTGTATTCCATCTTATCTGAGTTGTAACTATTTCACGATTGAATTTCTTTCAATAGAACTGTTTGATATCTCAGCAAATGTGCATAGGGTGTGAGTGAGGATGTGAAGCCTAATAACAATAAACACTACATCCACAGCTTAGCGTATTGGAAACTCTGACTAGTTCAGCTATCAACAGATGTATGTTCAGTTCATGTGAGAGATTTTTGAAAGGAAGAAGAGAAAACTCAAATGGTGACATTGCTAATGACATTTTATTCTTACGAAACTTTCGAGCACACTATGTGATAATTTTGTATTGGGTTATCATTTAAAATCAATAAAAAATGTTAAAACATGGTGAAAAAAGTTTCATGTTGATGATTGTCAAAATGTGGCAATCTAAAAGTACGGTAGAAGGAGAATAGACGAGAGGTGTTAACAAGTGTTGATGAAATCTACACAGATATCGTGTATTCTCAGTACACTAGCGACTAATGAATGAGAGTGATGTCAAAGGATCAGTGTCGGCATTCTTTGAAATAAAAAGTTTTAAGATGAGTTCAGATAAACTTCGCAATGATTACGAAGAATTAATCACTAAGTAATCGTATATATGACAATAAGATAGTTAGTTAGTCCATATGAATGATGAAAAATAAAAATATAAATGATTCCTTTATCGTTTCATTATAAGCTTTGTCAAGTTTAGTTTTAAAACGTGCTTGTCTTTAGTTGACAAGAAATTTTCTAATAATACATTTTCATTATTGTTTGTATCGTTGTGTCATATTCATATAAAACAAAATTGTGTTCTTGAATTCTTTCTTTATTATAAACATTTTTATATCGTTAAAAAAATATGATTCATTGTTTTTTTTCACCTCCAAGTAATTGACAGACAACAGAAAAATAAAGACATTGATGATGATTATTCAAGGTGTAACGCGTTTTGGATCACGCGGAAACATTGAAGTTTTTCGTACGTTGCCTAAGCCTAAATAAAGCATAAGAACACGTTCTAAACCGATACCACCACCAGCATGTGGTGAACAACCATAACGAAATGCATCAATGTAAGATTTGATTTGATCAACATTGATTTTATGATGTTTTACACGTTCAAGTAATAATTGTGCATCTAAAAAAATAATAACAATAACAAAATTTATGTAAATCTTGTAATTTACCATGGATACGTTGAGCACCAGAAAGAATTTCTTCACCACGCATGAACATATCATAACTGTTTGAATATTTCTAAGATTAAAAATAATTAAATTTTATGAAAAAATCAAAGAGAATAAACATCGTATAATTACTGGATTATCTGGATCAGGCATTGTGTAAAATGGTCGTACAGCCAATGGATATTTATCAAGGATATAAAAATCTGTATGATACTACGAGCAAAAAAAAGAAGACTATGAAAATTAATGTTATTCGAAATTTACTTTTTCCTTAACGATGCGACCTAAAATACGTTCATTTTCTGTGGATAAATCATCTTCAGAACCCATTTGAACACCAACTTCAGCAAGTAATGCCAAACCATCTTTGTATTCAAGACGTAATCTGCAAAAAGCTTATATTATACACTACAAAAAGAAACTTCTTATCAGTTAATCGAAACTTACGTAGGTTCAACAAATTCAAACGGTTCACAAGGATATTGTTTATTAATAATAGCTATTTCCGTGGCGAACCTAAATCAAATCAATTAGAATAAATTTTACATAATTTAATATATAAATATATATAAATTCAACTAACCGTTCGGCAAGACCTTTAAAAATTTGTGTAAATAGATCACCAATCGTATTAATAACTTCGTGATAATGGTAATTGAATGCCATTTCAAGATCAAGACCAACAAACTCAGTTAAATGCCGATGTGTATGTGCATTTTCAGCTCGAAAAACTATACAAAAAAAAAGGATAGAAAACAAACTAAATAAATCTATATGATATTAACAAGAATGATGCGAACCTGCTCCAATTGTATAAACCTTTCCAAAATCAGCAGCAATAGCCATTTGTTTATAAAATTGTGGCGATTGTGCTAAATATGCATTTGATTTAAAATAAGATATTTGAAATACATTAGCACCTCCTTCGGATGCCGCTAAAAATAAATAGAAAACAACAAAATGAATTTTATCTAATAGAACTAATCATATCTATATACCGGAAATAATTTTTGGTGTATGAATCTCAACAAAACCTTTTGCATCAAGTGTATCACGAAATAATTTGCAAACACCTGCTTCAACACGATAAATAGCTTGATTAGCTGGTGTACGTCTACAATAATATATGATGAATCGTTGTTTTTCTTTTAAATAAATAAATAAAACTTACAAATCAATAACACGATTATCAAGTCGTGTATCTTGAAGAGCATGAGGAGCTTGAATACCTTCATCAGTTGGATCATCTGGTCGCATAGCATCTTCAACTAATAGTGGTAAACGAGCTTCAGCCGGACTAACAACAAATAACTTGTCAAATATAAAGACAAACAAAATGATCTTTACATAGAAATAAATTTCATGATATCTACCTTTTTAATCTGTAATTCAACATCCTTTTGTGAACATGATTCAATGGGTGTTGGTGCTAACGAAACTTCACCTTCAACATCAATAACACTTTCTTTTGAAATGCTAATTTACAAAGAACAATAATTGATTTTTCAGTACTACTTTTTTTGATGATAATCTTACGTAGTAGCAAATTTAACCATTGACTTACTAACATTTTCGTTAACACTTACAACTGCCTGAATTGTTGCGGATTGATGACGAATAATAAGAAAACCTCGTTTGCCTGTATCACGACTTGTATGAAGACGACCTCGAATCCAAATGGTTTGTTTAGCTAATTTTTCATTGATATCATGTATAGAAACCAATTGACGATCGATTTTTTCCTTTGATTGAATTAATGGCATAATACCATAACTATCTTGAGCAAAATCTTCTTCATTTGTTGTAGAGCCTATATTCTAATTATAAGAAGATAAACAATTAGTTGAATGTAGAATAACAACATATGTTATGTGTTCGCATTTTTTTATTAATCAAAGATATTATAAGATAAAAACTTTTCATTATTCATCTTAGTTTTATTAAGGAAATATTCTTATCAATAGTACCTGCTGTTGTTCTTGTGTCGTTTTACTAGAATTGCCAGAAGTCATTTTAAATTTATCGAAAAAAGTGAGAAAAACTCGGATTTATGCATAGAATATAATGATGAAATGGGAATATGCCTTTTGCATCAGATAGATGATGCAAATATATTAATTTTGATGGAAAAAAATTTGACCAATCAACTGTTCTCAAAACACTATTCATACTTTTTATTTAAATAATGACGATAAAAATCCTCGTTGCTAGAGAATTTTATCGAATTATTGATTAGATTCATCTATATAAAATATTAGCACAAAATTTTATATGGAAAAATAAATTCTAAAAAACGACATATTTTACTTTTGTCTTTATAAATTTTTTCTCATATTAAAATCTTTTCATTTCATTTTTAATTAGCGTCATCTATATTAATATCTTTTTCACCTGGCATAATTTTTTTTCCAAGGGTGTAGGTGATTGTGACTATGAGAAATCATGTGCTCATCTATTTCACATTTACACTTCACCCACTTTGGGAATGAGTTGAGGGAGCCGATTCGAAATTCCAAGGTTTGAAATGAATCAGAGCACATTGTGTTTTGTATTGTAGGATGATCGGGTAATAATATACACTTTTCGACGATGACATCGAGATTAGTTCGTAGAATGTAATGTTTCAGCGTTGGATGTAAATCTTTTCCTAATTCTAAATACAGATCCACACTCTCACTCACCCCGTATATCTAGAATCCTATAGATAAAGAGGGAAAATCCTTATGACTGCATCTGAAGAAGATGCTGGTCATAACATTCACACCAGAGATGTCCATCGCGGCGCTGCCGCTGCCGCCGCGGCGGTGGCGGCGCGACGGCGGCAGCTTTTTAGGAAAAAATTTCAAAAATTCATGAATTTTCACAGAATCTGCATGTTTATGTGTGCTATACTGTAAGACTTAGCGAATCTGATCGATTAGCGGCATCAGTTCTATTTCAAACCAGTCAAAGCCTTGAAAATCAAAACATTTTTTCGAATACCAGCGCCGCAGCGGCGCGGTAGCGGCAAGTTTTTTTTAAGACGCGTTGCGGCAGCGGCGCGGTAGCTTTTTTTTTAACAGGCCATTGCGTCGCGGGAGCGGCACGGCAGCTTTGTTTGATTTTGGCCGCGACGTGGCAGCGGCAGATTTTGAGCCGCGATGGACATCTCTGATTCACACTCTTAAGATTTAATATATACATTTCAATAATGATACTTTTAGCATTTCCTTTTCATTCGTTTTTAAAATATTCCTAGTGAACTATTTTTACGAAACATTCACTTGCACCCTAAAACAAAAAGAAGTCCAAGCAAAATAAGAAGTATGACTATTATACAGGAAAAGATTCCTATAACAAATACAATAAAGAGATATTTAGTGTTTTCTTACTATCGTTTTCTCAAGAAAAATGTGAGCAACTGTGTGATCATCAAGGCATATTTATTGTAATACGAATCGCAGTAATAGAAACTTTTCGTTTGAACGTAATGTAACAGTATCGAGATCGATCCGACAAAGCTTTTTTTTCTGAACTTTGTTCTTTTATCAAGCTTCAGGATAATTAGAACGAGCACACAGATAAAAGTTAGCCTATCATAAAACGATGATTAAGTCAGTATACATTTCTTCCATGACTTTTAATTCAATATCGAAAAAAACAAGTATCGCTTGACACCATTGAAAATGATTTTCCTTTTTCGACATCTTAGATAAAATAAAGAATGTTTGATGAAAATAGATCTAATCAACAATTTTGATCTTTTCAGAATATGGCTAGGTATATATATATTTGAACGATAACAAACAAATTTTCACATCAAATATTGGTTTATTATTTTGAAGTGTCTATGATAGATCTCTTGAAAATCTGTCATTAAGATTTTTGTAGATGAAATTGTTCTAAATTTTAGATAAATTAATTATGATGAAAGATGCTGTATTTTGTACAAAAAAAACATTTCTTTTGCTTGTTTTATTAATGTTGATGGTTATTATTTCAAAAGAAATTTCATCCATTCGAATGTATACTATTGTATATGTCATGATGACCCAAAAATGGCAATAGAAGAAAAATTTAATAAACATTCATGGTTAAAAAGATTTAGTAAGACTAGAAGTTAAATTAGAAAAAGTAATGAATGATGATGCGGTACTTGTTGATGAACAAAGAGAATTAGGCAAGAAAATTCTGTTGAACATAAAGAAAGTTTTCTAACATGTTGATAATTTTATCTTTTTCTTCATGTTGCTTTATATATTTGCTGTCTATTATAGGAATCTTTTAGCCAATGAAAGAACTGCATCGATTTTTTTGAAAAAAAAATTTAGGAGAAATACGCAACATTTGTTGACAATTCTATATTTTATGAAGATTCTATGTAACATGTTTTTTTCCTTGGGTATTTTAATTTTTGTTAAATAAAAGTCTAATGAAAGTATATGTCCATAATATTCTATTTGAATGCCATGATTTAATATTAGTGTTTGTAGTACATAACCTTTATACCATGGTGAAAATTTTATTTTATTTATTCATTTTTATACTTGTATTTCTTTCAAAATCATTTTTAATTGATAAGTTTTCATCTTGAAGATTTTAACGCATGCAATATAGTAAGTGAAATTAATAACCGATTTGCTCAGGATATGTTTGAAATGTTTTTCTCGCTGTTGGATATGTTTATTTTATTCTACTAAACATGTCAATTAAATCAAAGTAATACTATTTAAATTTAATGATACCTAATCAAATAATAAAAAAGTTATTTCAATCTAAATAGTGGATAGTTGTAATTATGTTTAATTTATATCTTTAGAATATAGGATAAAGAAGAAAGAGAAAAGACAGATTACCAAGAGATGATATTAATACTAACACACTGTGGTTAATAGGCATAATTTGTATTTTATTAATAAAATTTTTTATAAAAAAAATAACTAGCGATAATGTTTCAGTAGTTATTAATGTATTCATTTACGAGGCGTTTTATTCTATTCGTTCATGTTTCGAAACACAAACAATGATTACATCGTCGCCTTCAGCTTGACGAGCTCATTCTAAAAAACTATATGGTACATGATGAAGTATTATTAGTAGAAAACTAATACTCTACATTAAAATATATTCAATGATAACCATTCCTTTACTAAATAAAAATTCAATCAATGAATACAAGGCATTTGCAAACATGTTGTTACATTGGCATATATATATACAGTCAAAGACAAAAGTTTAAACGAAAATGTATTTTTGATTTTTTCTATAATAACAAGCATCTAACTGAAATCCAAATAGTGATTCGGATAGCCCATGAAGAGCTCTATCAAATGCATTCTATACCAAAATTTCATAGATGATTTAAGGTAGCAAGGTTTCTAGAAAACCCAAAACCGTATTTTTCAGGTCTCAGAAGACTTTGCAATAATTCGTTTCTAACAGTACTAACTTAAAGAACACAAAATTCTGAAGAAAATGAATGGTCGCCGCCTTTCCTACGATTTTCCTTTCAAAATTTATAAGCATTAGAAAAACTGGAAAAAAAGTGAAATTTATCAAGAAACCGCTAAAAATCGTATTTTTTTCGATTTTTGTGATGCTTATAATTTTTGAAAGGAAAGTCGTAGAAAAGGCGGCGACCATTCATTTTCTTCAGAATTTTGTGTTCTTTAAGTTGGTACTATTAGAAACGAATTATTGCAAAGTCTTCTGGGATCTGAAAAATACGGTTTTGGGTTTTCTAGAAACCTTGCTACCTTAAATCATCTATGAAATTTTGATATAGAATGCATTTGATAGAGCTCTTCATTGGCTATCCGAATCACTGTTTGGATTCCAGTTATATGCTTGTTATTATAGAAAAAAATCAAAAATACATTTTCGTTTAAACTTTTGTCTTTCACTGTATATTAAATAGAGCATTGCTTATGATTTCTATCTAGAGACACCAATAATAATACAAAAATTGTTCTTCTTGATGTTATATAAAAATAATTTGTTAGAACACTTTTTAAACATATTATGGTATAACAAATATATTTTTCCATTATTTAGATGATCAATAAGAATGAAAATGCATCAATTGTATAACATATTAATGGGAACTATTTGATATAGAGATACATTTTCGTCTGAATGTAGTTTACTTGTGAAGTTACAAATAAAAAAAATACTGTTATGCTTATCAAACTAAACTCGCTTATCATCCTGTACAACATAAAAACAACATTTTGCATATAGATGATTGAGAACTTCTTCATCGGTACATTTCCAAGGAAGAGAACAGAAAAAACTTATTATTAATGATGGACGAGCACGTAAAAAGTAACGAAATATCTATCGAACAAAAGAACAGCGAGCGAGAAGCCTACGCAAAAATTGGAGTAAACCATGCAAAATAATTGCATTTAGGATAATTACCATTCGTCATACACTCACGTGTGATGTTCTACTTATATAAAAATGAAGTATTACAAAAACACAATATACTATCACCATTTCGTTTACAAGAGAACGAACGAAAGCATATACAAAGGTCGAGAACAACAGCAAACGAATAATCAACGAGAAGCCAAAGTAACCAATAGAATTTTATACGTATGGTCAAGAATATATAAGAAAATGTCAATTGAAAACATCAACAATTTAACTCAAGAATCCGTTATCGTCTGGTTAGATAGTACTATTGAAAAAACCAAAGATAATCAAGATACAAAAGCACTCTTGCGACAATTGGTTAGAGGTCGCTTATTTACATTTGATGATCCGAATCAATGTATTGAACATATAAAGACTGAACTGATAAGAAAACGAGTATTTCTTATTGTTTCAAATGCATTTGGTCAAAATGTTATACCACTTATCTATGAATTACCATATATACAAGCAATATACATATATTGTGGCAATCGAAAAGTGGCAGAATCATGGACAAAACCAGAATTTAAAATCTCTGGTATATTCATAAAAAAACAACCACTATTACATCAAATTTGTAATGATGTTGTTAATGTTTGTGATCCAGATGATGATTTACCGATGAGTATATTTCATCTTGCAGAACGAGAAAATACATTACAAAAATTAAGTGATGAAAGTGCAGAATTTATGTGGTATCGATCTCTATTGATGGTACTTCGATTAATGGCAAAATATGGTAATTCAAAAACTGAAATGATTGCTGAATGTCGAGCAAAATATCATGATAATGAACTTGAAAAGAAGAAAATAGATGATTTTGAACAAAACTATTGTCCAAAAAGAGCATTTTGGTGGTATACTTGTGACAATTTTGTATATCGATTATTAAACAAAGCTCTACGTACACAAGACATTGAAATTATATTTAAATTTCGATTTTTTATCAATGATCTTCATAATCAAATCGAACAACTTTATCATCAATATTTAGATACTCATGCTTCTATTATTAATCATCATCATTTAAGAGTTTATCGTGGTCAACTTTTAAGTCTAACAGAACTTAATGTACTTAAACTTAGTGTAAATGAACTTATTTCAATGAATAGTTTTTTAAGTACAACATTGAATCAAGAGTTAGCTAAAATTTTTGCTGGTACAAATGATCAATCGAATGAACCATCATCATTACAATCTGTTCTTTTCATAATTGATATTTATAATATGAGCAAAGAAACGACACCATTTGCAATGCTTAAAAATCATTCATGGTGTCTAGATGAAGAAGATGAAGTATTGTTTACAATAAGTGCTATTTTTAAAGTTGAATCAGTTGAACAACATGAAAACAGATGGCATGTCCATTTACAATTAAGTGAAGAACAAAATAAACTTAGTCAAAAACTTTCCAATCATATGATGAAAGAAATTGGATCAGCACCAGATCCATTATCATTCGGTTGGCTTCTTTTTCGAATGAATAAATTTAACAAAGCTGAACGTTATGTGAAATATATACTGACACAACTTCCATCGAATACTAAAGAAATAGGAGATGCTTACAACTTACTTGGTCTTATTTATAAAGATACTCATCAACTAGAACAATCTGTTGAATGTTATGAAAAAGCACTTGATATTTATTCTCAATTGAATTATCACAATAGTCCTCAAGTTATAGCTACTCATTGTAATCTTGGTTTAGCTTATTTGGCATTAGAAAATAGTCGAAATGCAGAAGAACAACAAAGACAAGCCGAAGAAAAGTTGTTTAACTTCTCAGAATCAAAGAATTCATTACTCATAGCTATAGTGAAAAATCTCAAAGCAAAAATTCTAACAGAATATGGTGATAATACAAATGCTTTGAAAAATCTTCGACTGGTTTTAAAAAGTAAACTGGAACAACTACCATTAGTTCATTCTTCAGTAGCATCAACATTGAATGCAATAGGTATTGTGCATGAAAATATGAACAATAATGTAAAAGCATTTAAATATTTTCAACTAGCATTAAATATTGGAATGAAAACCTTATCATCCGATCACTTGGATTTAGTTGACTATCATACAAATGTTGGTCGTATTTATTATAAACAGACACAATATGAACTTGCTTTACAACAATTTGAATTAGCACTAAAAATTATGGATGATTACCCAAGAGACGATCTTGATAGAATTTTCACATTACAGAACTGTATCACTGAGGCAAAAGAAAAATTACAATAGTGATAAATTTATGGATCAAATCTTTTTCTTTTCATAAATATTCTGTGAATTTTTTTTTTCTCATTTATTTTGGTGATTTTACAATAGAATACAATCAGTTAGATTAATGTTTCTATTCTTCTAATTAAATGTGAAGTAATAAAGTTATCTCTCGAAGATTACAGTTGTTTTCCAAGGATTATTGATCATTAGAGAAGTGATCCGTCTTATTTACTTTTGTATTTTGAATAGATTTGTTTTCTTGTCTTTAATGGCACTCTTCTTTTTTTTGTTTACTTTATTGCTGTTCATTTGCTATTGTTCTTTTTCGTATTTCTTTATTTTACAGCAATAGTATTTTAACTAGTGATTAGACTGGCAAAAAAAAAACCTATTGTGCATATTCATTACATCTACAGCTGGTCTCATCATATTATTATATATCCGGATTAGACTAGAAACACTATTATTGACTATTTCCCAAAATTATAACTTAACATCAAAAATTCGTCTGAAAACTAATATTCACTAGTTTTTTTCAAAAATATTTATGAGTCTAACAAAACAAGAAGAACTGTAAAACAATTCACGTTCATGTTTTTGTACATACTCAGAAAAGTAAAAATCAAATAGATTAGTTTTCTCATGAATTGTTGAGTGTTCTATCAAAATAAAAATGGTAAAATGAAGAAAATAAAATCTGAACAATACGTCTAAGAATTATGAATATTTAAATATATTAATAATAATTTTTAATAAATTCAAGATTCTTCTTTTTTTTTTATATAGTTAAATGTTTTAACTTTTTTCTGCTCTGATATTCTATTTTTAGAACTTTTCTCGAACTAAATTAGGGGTTAATTCATTTTTTTTTATTAAGTGAAGTATTTGAAATTGAACGATTAAAAAAATCATAAATTAACTGATAATTTTTATATAAAACATCGAATTCATTAAGTATTGTTTAAATATCTTATTCTTTTTTGAAAAGTTATATGCTTCAGCATTACAATCTAATATTACGATATAAACATGATTTTTTTTTATGTAATCAAATATATTTTCTTATATCGTATTTAGTATTATAAACATAAAATCATTGAAATAATTTGTAAATTCATATCAAGAAGATAAATGAATTTAATATTGATTTTAGTTTGATTTGTCATTTCGATTTTACTTTAGTCATTAATAGTTAGTTAGAAAAAAATAATCACTATGATTTAAATAATTAATTATAGAACCGCTATATTAAATGAATAATCAGTATATTAATTAAATAGTTAACTTTTTACTAATTAGATTTGTTAATAAATTTGAAAGTTAGTAAATAAAATTGATTAAAGAGTAAATATAAAAATTGAAATGTGTTGTAAAACGATTTATTTATCATTTTTCTCTTTCTTGTACATTCATTTTTTTGAATTGATTATTTACTCTATTTTTGTTTGAGTGTTTGAATTTATTTATTTTTTTAGGCTAAGTTATACTTTTTTTTACTGATCAAATGTTTTGTTACCAAAAATAATTAAAGGAAAAGGACAAATTTCGAATAAGCAAAGGTGCAAATGTTATTTGATGTATATTAAAAGAAAGTGACGTACGATTCATTTATGGTAAGAACAAAAAAACATAGAATGTAATTGGTTTGAAGCATTTAAATTATTCTTAGTTATTTGATGTATTTTCGATCATAATGCAGTATCAATATAGTATGATGAAAAAACCTTGGAATATTCTTGGCAATCATTAGCATTGCTAATAATTGTGGATATTAGTATGATTTTGGTTGTCGTTGGTTTAGGGATTGGATTATATAATAATAGTTAGAATTCAACTTTAAATCACATCGAATAAATAAGAATGATGAATAACCCCCATATATACTATGAATGAATTGTTTGAGAATTTGTTCTAATTTTTAAGTCTATTGACTATGATGACTATATTTCAAGGTTGTACAAAATATGAGTTTTCTGTAAAGTGTTCAGTTTAACACGTTCACCTTCTTCTTGTTGACAATTAAGCCAATAGAAAAAAGAAAAAAATAATAACACAATTATCACAGTTGAATCGATAAACGTCATCGTTGTAAATTAGTTGACAAATGAAATGAATATTGTCAATATTTGGTTGTTGACTTATTTTTAAAAAATTTCATATTTTTCAATTTTTATAAATGAAAACTATTGAGAGACTTTCTATGAAAATAAGAAGAAATCGAGACATACTGGTCAAAATTTTAATTTTTGATTTTTTTCTTTGTTTTCATAATGACATCATTTTAAACTATCGAACTCAAATTTTTACCTCATATGAATATTCCATAGTAAACTTAGCCTCAGTCGACTTTTTTTAATAATGAATAAGAAAGGTGAGAATTTACAAGCTCATAATGGTCTATATTTAACAGTACGTCTATTGCTATAATTTTTAAGCAAATAAAACCATACAGAGTTTTTTTAGTATGTTATGTAACCTTTTTTTTTCTCAAGAAAATGGTAGCAAAACTGAAAAACAAAGTTTACCTTCGAGGCGAAATGACATTCATACTTTTCTCTCACATAATGATTATTCATTTTTTTTTTCAATAGAAAAATAAACACTTTGTAATTTTCATTGCTATGACACGATTGTTAAGCAAAATAAATTTGACATTCGAAATCCACATTAAAAACTACATGAAGTCAAATAAATTTTAGAGAAATCTTCTTTTTTTTTTCTATGACAAAATTAATGGTGGTCCCCCAGTGGTTAATTTTTTACAGAAAAACAAGTTCTCTAAAATATATTTGACTCAATGTAGTTTTTTTTTATGCCGATTTCGAATTTTACATACAATCGCTATGTAAGAAAAAGATGTGAACATCATTTCACCTCAAAAGTAAACTTTGTTCTGCAGTTTTATTACCATTTTCTTGAGGAAAAAAAAAGGTTACATAACATATCAAAAATTTAACACGGCTTTGTTTGTTTTAAAAATATGACAGCAGATGTACTGTCAAACATAGACAATATAGGCTCATAAAGTTTCATCTTTCTTACTCATTGCTAAATAGTCGACTGAGACTAAGTTTACTATGCAACATCCAAATAAGCTAAAAATTTACATTTGGTGATTTTAGATGATGCAATAATGAAGCCACATAAAAAAATCAAAAGTTTAAATTTTGACTAGTGTTCCATACACTGAGACAATCTTTGGTCCTTTCATTAGAATGCATCGGATCCAAGAATTTCTAGGCCCGAACACGACTGAGTCCAGATGAGACGGAATTGGCTTTGCTGACTACTCAATTTTAAACTTCTCATTTATATAAATTTTTGCTGACCAAAAATTATATTCCAAAAGAAGAGAAATAATATCAAGAGGAATTCATCATTAATTAACCAAAATGAAAAGTACATTTAAATCATGTATTTCGAATGACTTATACATCATACCATAAAGTATGACACATATTAGTTTAATTAACGGAATTTAATTTTGAGAACTTTTTTAACATTACTAAATATGAAAGAATTTTTTTTTTATAGTACAAAAAAAAAGTCACATATCAAAGTCATGTACTTTATTATATTCTTATATTTTGTTTGAGATTTCTTTAAATCATCACTTCGTCTATATTGTTTTACCTAAAGAATATAGACATTGCATTAATAGATGTTAGGAAATTTATTATCGAAATGATTTATCAGCATACAGAATACAAATTCAAAATATCAAATAATGCACGATATTATTCATATGAACTTCAATATAGAGAAGCTATATAAAATAATTATTTGAATAAATAAGAGTGTGTTCAACGGTAATAGGTTATTAATAATAGAAGAAAATAGTTTTTTTACCAAACTATTGGAGATTTTTTTTCTGTTGTTTATAATTAAGTAACTATTTATTATATCTTGGATTTTCAAGAAAACAATATTTGATTATGTAAGAGAAAAAAAAACTGTTTTCTCAATATAAATACATATGTCTTATTATGACGTTATGTATTCACTTTAGCGTATTCTTCTTTGTCTACGTATATATAAAAAAAAGCATTATTTTTAAAATATAAAATTTCTAATTAATTATGAACATATCAAAAGATTTAATAGATATAATCTTCATTATACAAGTGTATTTAGTGATTAAAAAAAGGCCTCTCGGCAAATAACTGCTGGTTAACATTCATCAATTTGACTTAATGTTAATGATATATTTTTTTTCTGTCTTTCTAAATGAACATAATTGCTTATTTTAAGATGAATGGGAACGTTTACACAACATTAAAGAATAAAAATAACAATATAAAGAAAAAAGATGATGCTAATATAGCGTTAGTACCGCAAGCATTTGTTAATTAATTATTAAAAAGTGAAATTGTTGGTCTTGACAGAGAAAAGAGCAAAAAAAAAAGACATTTCCGAATGTCTTTCTTTTTCTATTTCTCTTTTATTCTCATATCGATCATTTCCAAAAGTTTTTCTTTTAAATAGTGGTAGTGATTCATTTTTCCATACGGAAGAAGGAAAAAAAAAAGTGATGACGAGAAAGCAATGTGGTGTTCTTTCGCATCGTTAAACAATCATAATGATAAATCACACAATAGATCAGAATAACATCAATATTAAGACAAGAAAAACGACAACATAGGTCTGGTCAATTAATAAAAGAACAAGCTAAATCTTGTTAATAACTATAACATATATATATATATATTCGGAAACATTTTATTGAATTTAACCAACAGATGGCACTTATATTTTCTCAGAAATAGATTTTAATATAACATACAAAAAGAAATAGAATTTTTCTTGCGGCTTATTCTCTACTTGCTGTTCTTTCTGTTTTTCATTTAACTTAGCCTGCGAACATCATAGAGCAATATGTATTGTTACGTTTGTCACTCATCAATGCTCGTCGCCGCTTTGCATACATATATATATAGATGCGTATGTTGAGCGTATGCGTTCATAATAGAGCTATAAAGATGATCGATGCGGCGAATAGTGATTATTCTATTGAGCGAGCGCGTCGATAATCTAAACAACAACGGTACTTTTGCTTCCGTGCTTTATTTACCCGCCCTTCTTCATTTATGTGAAATCAACTGAGTGTGAGATAAATATTCAATGAACAAATTTGTTTTCCGCATGTGCACATATATATAGATACTCGTCTGGTCATCATATTATTTTGTACTCATTAAATACTATTCAAGAAAACGATTATCTTCTTTCGACAATACATTCCATCATGTTAAAAGATCTATTCGGGTATGTATTCTATTAATAAATATATATGTAAAACATATAGTTTGATATTGTTTAAAATTAAATAAGATTGAATAGAATTTCTTATTGTTGATATGATCAAAAAACAAAAAAAAAACAAACATTTTCATAAAGATTTATTTAATCTTCTTTTTTTTGGCAATTGAATATTTCTTATAATAATAAACATAGATAAGAAGAATTAATTGTTTAAGTATTGACTACTATAAACAAAAATTACTTAAATAATATCATTATAATAAAGATTGTCTTATGAATGAAAAATTTCAATGATAATTATTAAATGTTTGAATCAGTTAATCAAGAAATTACACTGTATTAGAGTAGAAAGTTAAGTGAAAAAAAAACTAATTAATTGGATTATTGAAAAACAAAAAAAAAAAGTGTCTTGAAAATTATTCAAATGATTTTGTTTCAATTGAAAAGAATAGATTTAGATTTTGTTGAGTAATAGATAATATGTTTGTTCGACATATTCAGATATACAATTTTTACTAAGAAGAAGTTTGATATCATAACATAGAATTTTCAAAACAAACAGTGTTCATTGAATCGTGTTAGTTCGAATATTGATCATTTATACAAGAATTTCTCGTATTTCAGTTATCCTGTTGTTTTTATTACTATTATTATTCTTCTTCCATCGAAATTATTTTCAATGAATTTGAAAACTCCTTGTGATTTATTAAACCTTCCACGTGAATGTCATTGTCAACGAACTCGTAATATACCAATATTTTCATTTAATGAAACACGTTTACGATGTCGTCAATTAACTGAAATAACAACCAATTATCCTTGGTCAAGTGTATCATATGATCATTTAACATTTGAAACATTTAATGATAATTTAACAGTACATCGTTTTGTTTTTTCTAATATTATTGTTCGAACATTACGTTTTAATGCACAATATCTTCTTTTAAATGATCATACATTTGATAATGCTTATATTGGTCAATTAGGTATAACACATCAAGATACATATGGTCGAATATATTTTGAATCCAATAGTCAAATATTTTATGATACAGCAATAACTAATTTATATTTTAAATTTATAGATTTTGAAATACCAATATCTGAAATAAGTTTTTCAAAATCAAAAATATATTCATTTTTAATACAATCATCAAAATTTTATGGTTTTACAAATCAAATTGATCAAACTATATCAAAAACTTTAACACAAATAAAATATGATCAATTTCTTGAATATAATATTTTATTACCAATAAATAAAAAAAGAAATTTACATAAATTCTATAAATCAAATGATGAAAATTCATTAATTGATTCGGAAAAAACTATTACAATGAATATAACATTAATAACTAATCCAATATATATAACAATATTTACCATTATATCAAGTATTAATACAACAAATTTAACTGAAAATTATTTTCCTAATAATTTAGATTATAATCAAACAGATGAAATTGAATTAAGTTTTAATCAAATAAATACTCTTAATGCACATACATTTCGTCATTTAAAAAATTTTAAAGGACGATTAATATTAAATAATAATCAAATTAAATATTTAAATCCATATTCATTAACAAATTTATATTTATTAAAAAATTTATCATTATCAAATAATTTAATTAAACATTTATCATCAATACATTTTAAAGAATTAAATCAATTATATGAACTTGATTTAAGTTATAATCAAATTTATGAATTAAATAATTATACATTTAAATATCTAACAAATTTACATATACTTTATTTAAATAATAATCCATTAGAATTTATTCATTTAGATGCATTTTCAAATTTAACAAAATTAAAACAAATTCATTTTCATGGTGTTGAATTTATTCATTTAGTTGATTTATGGTTATGGAATTTAGCTAGTCTACATGTTATTCATTTACTTAAAACTGAGTAAGAATATATGAAAAAAAAGAAATTTTTTTTTTTAAATATCAAAAGAAATGATTTTATTAAGAAAAATTTCAATCATTTTCCAATCTACGAATAGTTTCTCATTTCTTACATTGTTTTCTATTGTATAATTAGAATAAAAATTTTACTATTTAATACAAATTAATATTGAATAAATATATGAAATAGTATTCCGAAGAAAAGAACGGAAGAGGATATGAGTCTTACCGAAGGTCACGACATGAGCATAGTTCCTCAAATTAGTTATATTGACTCATGACGATGAAAGCTAAGCGGTAAAAGAAAAACATCATTTGTTGTACTTTTTTTTTTCGGTTTAATTATGCATAAAATATGTTCAATGGTGTTTTCATTGATTCGAAATATAATTTTAAAACTATAAAATAATTAATTGATTATTTACTAATTGAAAAAGAATGATATAGTCGTTTTTTTTTTTATTTAATTTCTAGTTTTGATTTGAGTGATGTTGCTTTTTGTATATTATCTCATTATAATCAAACATTATTTCATTTATCACATCAACATTTTTGTTCATGTAATATTCATTATTTTAATTTTAATCAATATTTTATTGAAAATACTTCTATTTCAATATTAAAATATAAAAAAAATTATTTACGTTTAACTCCTATATGTAATGAAAATGAAACAGAAACAATTTTTAAACAACAAACAAATGAAAATGATTTAATATTTCAAGATATAGAAGATAAATGTAATTATAAATTAATGTTTCTCGATTGTGATGCTATGACAACAACGCCAACACCAACAACAACAACAACAACAGCAATAACAATAACATCAACAATAGAACTAACAAGTTTATTAGATATGAAAACAGAAACTACATATATTTCAGATACTATTATTAGTCAAACAACTGAAATTCTTATACCATCAGCAAAAAATTGGTTTGTTTTGAATTAATTAAAAGTTTTAAAATTTAACAATGAATATACTATCATTTATACTGTCAAATAAGTGCAGTTCGATATTAACGTAGTAAAAATTTTATTCTTTCAATCAAAAAAGAAAAAAAAACGCGAACAAAATTTTGACAGTTGATGCATTAGAAATAAGGATAAGCAGATGTGAATTGATTTTTTTTTCTTCATAGAATTATATCACACTAAAAATTATTCCAATTAAAATAATAAGTTTAATCGAAAAAAATCCATTTTGTATAATGATAAAATTAAATCATCATATTTTCTTACCATATCATGACAGAAAGGAAGAATTCCTATGCCTTTTGACAAACTTACGATATAGGATGCTGCCTAAAAAAACAATTTATTAGACTGATATCTTCCTTACAACTATAAACAGCTGTAGCTCTAGGCAGAAGGTCAACTTGATTCAGAGTTCTTTTGTTCTACCGCTCGACTTTCCATGCATACTGACTAACCAGAAAGACTGATGTATGTGATTATATAGTTAGTGTGCTATATGATGCATTCTTCAAGACATATAATCGTTCGTGTTTGTCCAGAATAATTTCCTGATTAAGATCACCAAGGTGCGAACGCAATATTTTGTGGATATATGCCAAACAATATAGCTATTCACGAGAAAACTTCTTCAGCTGTCTCATTCTGATTTCAATGGTTTTCATCTATAGATACTACGTAGCGTTCTAATAAAACTCGTAAAAAAGGATTTCGAATCCTAATGATTTTTGGTCTGAAACTTTGCTCATATAGAAAACTTAATTAGACTAGTTTTCATAAAATAATACAGAAGATTTCAAAATTTGATTGCTTAGTTAAATACAAATAAGAATCGATATCCTTTTAGCGTTTTTATTAGAGCACTATATAGTATTCATAGGCGAAAAAAAAACATCATAGGAATTCGAAGGATGAAATATTTTTCGTTCCGTTCGTCTGTATATTCATTGTCATATATCATAATTCATATCTTTTTTTATCAAAAATCTACTAAGATTTTTTCTTGTCTAATCAAATAAATTTTACGATATTAAATTTTAAATAATATTTTATTTCTTGTAGGGTAACTCCAGTTACAACACGAGAAACACCTTTAAATAATATAAAAAAATTATTTACTGTACTTGGTACATTAATAGCAATAACAATTAGTGCCATTGTTTTAGTCTTTTTTTGGTATCGTTTTAAAGCTATTTTAAAACAAAAGAAAAAAAAGAAAAGTTTTATTGAACAACAACAACGACATTTTAATTCACCCGTTCTCAATCATCATCATTCAATAGCAACACATTATGCTTCATCGGATACATTAGGTAGTATACACAGTGCACCTGTATCTGGTAGTAAAAGTCGTTCAGAAACATTAATTGAACCACCAACATTACATTCGTTATCTATATATAAAAATACTGAAGCCATTGATAATGAACATATTAAAACTTTTATTGACGATGAAAGTACACAACAATATTCATCAGATAATTCATTAGCAGAAATACAAGCGATTAGTCAATGTTAAATTTATTGTACTTCTTGTATTTGTGTGTGTGTGCGTGTGTGTGTGCTTTTTGTTAAATTTAATTAAAAGAAATGATGCTCAGACAAGAATGTTAAAGCTATCGAATAATCTATATATGACTATTCGATCTTAGACAGATATTCACAAGATTGTATTTATAAGGTAATTAATATAAGTGTAACGGTTAGGTTTCTGTACATTTCCATACACAGAATAAAGTCAAAGTTTGAGAATGATAGAAAAAATAGATTTCTCAATGATGAAACGTTAGTGAAGTTCAGACAATTTACACTTGAGTTTTTATTGCACTTTTACGCAGAGTCTCGACTTACGAGAAAAATACTATAAGTTATTAGTCACTTTTGAATCGGAAGTATGTGTATCATGTTAGCTTATTATTACGAAGGTATTGCATTTTTACAGTATATTTCAATTGAATTTCATGGTCCACCATGTTAAGGACATCAGAAAAATTCATTTTCAAATTTTATTTAGCAAAAGGTTTCAACAGAAATAATTTATTGTAAAAGTTTTAAGCCTGTTGATTTGTTTTCTTTCTTAAAATAAGAACATCAAATCATCTAGTGTGCAATAAATCATTTTCGCGATGTGTGTAAGATCGTGGACTATAGCATTCATTTAAAAAAATACTATAAAAATTTAGCATCTCGGCAGGAATAAGGCAAAGGTTCAAACTGATTTATAGATATTCATGGTTTCAATTCAAAAATGATTAATCAATCAGAAACTTCTTTTGTAAGTTTCAATTCGAAATTGTCAGTTGTATACATCACAGTAATGTCTTATCTTACAGAAAACCATTTACTCTACGATCATGTATATTTTAAAAATTTCTGTAAATTTCCTTTTGATTCTTTCTGTTATTTATCAGGAAACGAGAAAAACCAAACTTTTATTCTCGGTGAATATTCAATAATGTAATGGGAATAATTAAGTATTACAAGTCTCATTCCTTTATATATAAAGTGAGTATTTCTAATAGTTAATCAGAAAATTTTTAGACATGATGTTTGTTTCTTTCTTACGTACTAGAGAGTATTTTTCAATGAATTAAAAGCTATGATTTTGTGTTCTTTTCAGATATATGTCTGACATAGAATGTTGAGAAGTTATTTCCAAGCAAATTTTATATTTGTTTTAAAAAAAAACAATCAGTATTTTCAAAAATATATCTTAAAAACATCATAGAACACATGTATAATTGAGTTTATGAAATCAATTTCCAATCAAATAGTTATAAAAAAAATGAACTATTCATTTGTGTTTTTACGTAAATATGATTTTTCTCTTTCAATAGAACTAATGAAAGATCAATCGATCAGTTCAGCTTTTCACTCGATATACGAGAATTTCTATTAAATAATATCATCATTGATTTTTGCGTCTAAATTAAATACAAAAGAATTAATACTTTTTCTATTTAAAATTCAACAAAAAACCTATCAATCATTTTCAACTAGAATGCTTTCTTTTCTTAGATAATATATAAAATGTTCCTATTAAATTGTGTTATGATCATTTGTTTCAATACAACTAATTAATAAATTACTCGATTATATTTTTCCTTTTTGTAAATGTATGAATCGTCTCGAATCGATGATGCAGCAACAGACGAAGAAAATCTCTTAGATTTTTAGATGATAGATTTGTTTATGAAGCTCATTCTCTCATTTTTAACAAACATGCCTTAAATATAACATCAGCTTTCAAACATAAATTACTCAAAATCTTTCTTAAAAACAAAATCATCGATCGAATGAATGCTTAACAACATGTACAACTTCAATAACATGTGAAAATCATTTTATTTATTTTATTTCTTTTATTACATACAAAAAACCTTTCATTTATATAATGGAAATACTTGTATACAAGGACTATTCGTTTAAGATAATATTTACATAGTAAATATTGAATTATAACAAACTATTTATGTCAACATTTATTCAAATTTATAAAAGTTCTCATGTCTTCCAAAGTACACTTACTTATGAGAAGTAACTCTTCAATAACAAAGGTTTAGTATTCATTTTTAAAGTTTCCAAAAGAAATTTATTGCATTTATTCAAATAGAAACCAAAAAAAGAAATATCAGATGATTAATATTACGAATTGAATTATCAGTTATGAGTAACATACGTAGGTGAGAAAAAACAATATTAACGATTATTGTACAGTAGCTTGCAAAATGATTCAATCAGATTTTGCTTTTCATTTGAGTAGAGACTTTTGTCGATGAGATTATTCTATAAAAATTACTTCGTATGATAGAACAAATAATTTCCTACAAAATAAAATATCTTTCCATTGTTAGCAACGTTTTTTAATTGAGATAAGATGTCAATAATTCTAAAGTCGAGAAAAATATAGACAATATTTTAGCTAAGTTAAGTGTAAAGAACATGAGACAAGCCTATAAAAATTTTAATACACGAAATGCATCACGTTTCTGTAAATTCAATATTATGTGAAACTCAGATGTGTTCGCTAACCTCTCATTATGTTAATAGAGGATACTTATAGTGAAGAATCTCTCACTGAATATGGTTGTTCTTCAAGTATTATCAATCACGAGAGTAATGATCCATCTTATTTGTTCCTGTATTTCGAACAGAAATTTTTTACTGGTTTGCTCTATTTTTTCTTTTCGTATTTCTTAATTAAATATTATTATTATTCTAACTATGAATAAAACTGACAAATAAGCTTCTTATACATATCCATTATATACACAGTAGATCTCAATGCACTGTTATATGTTTGGATAAGCTCGGAAACACTGATATTCATTATTTTCTGAGTTATACCTGAAAGGCTAAGATCTGTAGTCAATCCACAAAATAAGACTGAGAATAAGTGTAAGAATCTAAATTTGACGAAAATTAATTTGGAGTATTAAGTATACTTTCGAGGCAAATTTTTATGTTGATTTTGAACATGATATTTGTTTCTTTTGAAACTGAACGTATGGTCTTGAAAACCTGTAAATACAAACCCATTTTGAAAGTTTCTTTTTATCATATCGAAAAAAAGACTTCGAATAAACATTGGACGATATCGAGAATCAATGCGTTTGGTGCATGTCGATCTATTTTAGACTTTATGAATATTTTGTTAAACTTACAAAACGTGTCAAATAAAAAAATTCTGCTCAAATTTTGAATTGCTGACACTTAATATCAATCTTATGCAAGGTAGAAAAAAAAATATATCTTCATACAACATAACAGAAAAAAAAAGACTTCTGTACCTGTTGTAAGACTGATATATGTCAATCAAAAAAGACCTTATAGAGAATAGTTTACTTGATCATTCTTTAAATTCTTTTTAACGTCAATGATAATAGAAAATAAATCTGATCAAATTATTTTGAAAATTACTGTATATTTTTATTTTTCTGAATGGAAACTAGAGGGTATATAAAAGAATAATTAATAAGCATATGATGAATCAAGTTTGTTTATGCATACTGGTCTACTTGAATGTGTATATGTATATAAAATGAGAAAGAAAATAAAGCCATAAGTTATTTATACTTTAGGCATAGTGTATTTTTGAGTGATGAAACTGATGCATCGATTTATTTAAATAAGAAAGCTTCAATCTTGCAGTTTTGTATCGTTATTCAAATATATATTGAAATATTTGAATACATATAAAAGAATAGGACACCATATTCATAAATTACATGTTTTAATATCAATCGAATGATATATATTTGATGACATAATCAAATTGTAAATATGAGTAAGAAGGTTTTCATTGTATATTAGATGTATTCTTAGAATATTAATCGAAATTTGATTTGATTCATTTGTACCTGTCCTTTCTTTTTTTGTTTAATTGAATGTGAGGGCGTTGTTCGTTTTTAATAGAAAGTTAAGCTGATCATTTAATAGTATACGTATATTTGCGTATAACTCAGTGCATTGATCTCTATTTGTAATTTTGCTAGTTACTATTACTGATGTCCTCCACCGTTCTTTTGTTAATCCTCAACAAATGAAACAAACAGAAGGCAAAAAGAATCATATATATATATATATACATTGTACATTGTCCATCGAGGACAAAACCGTTACTCGTTTTCAAGTGTTCTTTATAAGACAAATAAAATGTGTGTGCACACTTTGCAAGAAAGAAAAAGGTAAGTAATTGAAATATTGTCATCTTTGCTTGAAATGCACCGATTCGTACTTGAATGTCTAGACAGTAAGTATTTCAAAAAAAAAAAAAAAAGAAATTCCAAACTTAATGTTTTTTTTTTTTTTTTTTTTATGCGACCGCACTTCAGTTAATCGATTTTATTTAACACCTATGTGTTATCATTTCGTATGCATGTGATATTTCTTTATTTTATTCACACTTATAGATTAAAATAAAAAAAAAAGAAAAAAGATGATCTTATTTTGATCCGTTTGGACGACAAAATGAAAGATGAATATTCACACCATTAAATGAATCATATTTCAAAGTATGACATATATAGTAGCATAAGACGAATCATAAATCTTGTATGCATATCACGTTTGTATGGTTTCTTAACAAATGTTGTAATCGTTTTTTTTTTTTTTTTTTATTTAACAAAAGAAACCAAACAAGAAAAAGAAACATTCTTTCTTATTCTTTAGATTTATCACTTATCATGGCGTCATGTTCAGATTTAACTAAACTTTCATTACCAATGGATTGTCAACCTATCATAAAGGTACGAAAAAAGAAAATCATAAGTGAATTCTAGATAGTATCTATTTATAAGAAAAATCAAATCAATAAGAATATCTTGACTAACTGTTCATTTCCAGGTTAAAGTGAAACCCTCTCCTGTTCATATTTTTAAATTTTGATTTTTCATTGATAATATAGTTTTGAAGTTTCTTCTATCAAATATCCTATCTATAAGAGTTCTTCATTGCTAATTAGTACTTTTTTTAAAACTTAAATCTCTTATGTTCTTTCTCAAAACCAATTTTTGAACAAAATTAAAGACGAGATATTTTCTCATTTGTTTCTACATGATACATCTGATCGGGTTCAAACTTTTTTGTAAGTACTTTGATTCAATTGGGCTACGTAGTTTTTATTTTTTCAAAATGTTATTTCTACGAAATTTGACAACCTTCAAACAATTAATGCGAGTGAAAAAAAAAATATTTTCTAACGGCACTTTCAGTGTTTCGCTTCTGTTGATCTCAATGGACGATATTTTTGAAAGACAAAAAAAATACATACTCCATTTTGATTCTCGTGGCCATAAAAAAATTACATCTCGAAAAAGTGGAATGTAAACTTTTTGCCCGGAGATCTTAGAAATTGTGAGTCTATGACAACTATTATTCTAATTATCCAGATCTATCTATTTTGAAAGTTTCATAATCTTTCATTGACTCATATTCATGAAACTTTAGAAAGGAAGGTTCACTTGAGTGACCATGATCATTCTTTAAACAACTCTTTTTCCAGCTAATACGATTCAACTTGAAGTTTCTCTATTGACAAAAAAAAGCGATTTCCAAGATATTTTTTTCACAGTCGATTTTACTTCAATGTTTTTGTTATCTATGTTTATAATAATCTCATCTCAAATTACACTAAACTATATCCTGCATTGTTCTGTACAAGCAATAAGATTATCATATTCGACAATCATCTTATTGCAAAAAAGAAAATGATTAAACAAACGTTGTGAAAGTGTTATGATATATATATGACAAATCGGACTACACTTTGATGTAATTTGAGATGAGATTAGTATGAAAATAAGCAACGAAAAATAAAAAACGCTATTTAACTTAACAAATACGTTACAAATCGATTTATTTGACGTTAATATGATCACAATCACTTAACTCTGAAATGAACATTAGTTATTTTACAAATTGTTCGAGTTATATCAATAAAAAAATTTTGCTTAATATAGTTGATGTTATCCCATTTATCACATTCAATTCTCTATTGATACTTTCTATGTATTGGCAAGGTCGAATGGTCATATAATTAGAAAAGAAAAAGAAATAATGTTGCCGATTTCCGTTAGATATATGTCAAATCTTGATGAGAGTAACTAGAATGATAAGAAAATTTATGCATATGTTGTACAACACAACCTTCTCGAGTGTGTGTATATATGCCAGGCACACAAGAACACTACAATACATTATCGTACAATTACATAAATGACATATATATATCTATATATATATATAGATGTTCTTCTTGTAATTCTAGGTTACACCAGTTGCTGTATCAGCAAGTAAAAAATTTGTCGAACCATTTCATCGACTTAAAAATCGTGCAAATTTATTTCGTCGAAAACTTTATTCATCACAATTAGATATTAGTAATCATAGTTCATTACATTCTATTAATCATAGTAATCTATCTGATCAAATAATAACAATAGATAATAATAACAAAGGTAATAATAACAATAATGTTATTCTTAAACGATCAAATTCGATGATATGTCCACAGCAACGTTTACAAACATTTTTAAAAACTAATAATAATAATAATAATAATAATAATCGTAATTCAATATGTATTGAATTATCTGGTTGTCCAATAGATGAAAGTTCAACAGATGATTATTATTCAATAAAATCATCATCAAATCATTATTGGAATAAAAAACTACATTCAACAATGAGTAATATTAAAGAACAGGATACATATCCATCAAATGAATCACTTAATGAGAACAAAATTGAAACAGGTAAAAGAAAATAAAATCTATTAATTAATATTCATATTCAATTTGTTTGTTTTTAGTATTATCATCACATAATAATAACAATGAACAAACATCTGTTATACTTTCGTCACCTCAATTAACTAAAGATGTTAGTAGAAGCGAACAAAAACAACAACTGGTTCCTTCTGTTACATCTTCATCATCAACGATTATGTCACGAAATAATAATGAAACAATTCAATTATGTCGTCAATCACATTCAAATATATCTTTTCGTGAAAAACGACAATCAACATGTTCATCATTTGATGAACCATTTTATGATTGTAAACAAGATACATCATCTTTAAAATCAATTCAAAATTTAGATATGTCTACATCAAAAATGTCAACATGTACAATGACAGGAAAATCTTTAAATAATCTTGATGAATGTTTATCAATAATGTCATCTGAAGATAAATGTGTACAAACAACATTTAATGATTCAATAACTATAAATTCATGTATGATAAGAAATACTTCATCAACAAGTTTATCATCATCAACAACATCAATACAAACTGATTCACTTGAAAATAAACCAAAATTATCGACTTTATCAAAAATAAATGAAACATCACAACATTCTATTAATCAACGTCTTATTGAATCATATTATAAATGGCCACATATATATGAAAGATTACTTAGTGAACAAACATGTATTTATTGGGTTAATTATTTAGGTAATATTGTATTAGAACAAAAAAAAATTAGAAAAATATGATAGAAAATTTTTACATATGTTGAATCGAATTTTGATTTCAATATTTCAGATAGAACAATGTGAATAAGAAAATTAAGTTTTGAATCAACACTAGAGTTTAGTATTGAATTGCCACATCTTTCAACATTGAAATAAAACACTTATTATACATACATATACTGAAATCTTCTATTTCAAAAAAAAAGAAAAAAAATGAAGATTTTTTGTATTCATCTGATGATTTAACTGTTCCAGTTTTTTCTGTATCTAATAATTTATTTAAAATATTGAAAAACTGTTCTCGCTTTTTTTCTGATAGTCTGCATTGTTTTTCTCAAAATCTTGAAATTTTACTGGATCAGATATAGTAGATAAAGCATAAGGCCAATAGAATGGTCATAGACATAGGTCTTTAAATATGTTTTATATATGTGCGTACGATGGATATTGTAATGAGTCGAGTAACATATAATCCAGATGAAAATTCATCAATTGATGTCCCTGGTAATGATGGATATCCTTGTAGTCAAACTGAAATGTCATGGCGCTTGTTTCTCGTCAATGGGAAAATATATGAAAGTCCAAATCAATATAATATTGAGTTATTTTCAAATTGATTTCAATTGTTAATACATTATTTTTTCTTAGTTGAACCGTGCTCAGAACGATATTCGTTCAGTAAGAATTAAGTATAACTCTTTAAGATTGTGTAGACCTATTGAAATACTCAATATTACTCAAAAATTAAGAAAATTGTTAATAATTTTATCAGAATTCATTCTATAATATCGACAGATTGATCTTATTTGCTTATGTATTCTTTTATTTATTATCATTGGAACTTAAATGATATTAGTATTGTTACTATGAACGATAATTTAGAAAATTTGTTTCATTTGTTTTTGGATGTTTTTTTTTTCTATGCATAATTTTGTACATTCTATTAAAGATTTTCTCGAAAAGATTAATTTCAAGTCTACATATTGAAATTGTATTGTTAATTTTCTATGTATTTTAACATATATTTCTTTACCATTCGGTTACTTAATCTTTCTAAAATGCAACAAACTAGTAGTTCATACATTATAGCAAGACTTTTATTGATATATAATCTATGGAAGGAGAAGATTGCAAACTTTTATTCTTAAACTTCAAGATTCTTTTTAGATTGTGTTTTACAAAAGAAAAGCAATAAATTTTTCTTAAGCGTACTGAAATTATTGAAAAAAAAACAATTTTAATAAATAAAAACGAAGTCAAATCTTCTAAGTTTTTCTTTCTTTTGTAATATAGGTTCAACAGCAATAAAAATATCAAATGATGATACATCAACAATACCAACTCATGCAATTAATCGATTAAAACAATCAACACAATATGCACGTGTTTTACCAATAATTGGTTTAAGTATATCACCGCGTGGTGTCGAATTTTTAAAACATTCAAAAGATCGTGTTGTAATCTGTTTTCATGATATTAAATCTATACATTGTGCATGTCAGGATCAAGATTTACGTTATTTTGGTTATGTTACACATGAACAACGTTCAATTAATGGTATATCATATACAACTACTACTTTTGATCATAAACAACCATTAACATCATCACCATCATTATCTACAAATGGAGATTATCATAATTATTGTCATGTATTTGTTGTAAAAAATGAATCAATGTCAACTGAAGTAGATTCTATTTGAATGAAATTGAAAATTTAAGTTTGTTTGTTTGTTTTTTCTATTTAGATTCTATTAACTTTTGGTCAAGCATTTGATATAGCTTATCGACTTCATCGTCGTTTAAATTCTAAACAAATTTGTTCGGATAAATCTCATCGAAATATTGATGTTAGTCGTTTGTCAACTAAATCTAATAAAGTTATATCATCATCAACACATTCACCAGCAACATCATCGTCATCATCATTGTCGAATGATGAACGAAGAATTTTTATTTAAAAAAAAAAAAAGACAAAAACAAAGTTTATTGTTTATAAATATGTTATTAAAATAAATTTCTTTTTCATTTGGTTATTGTAAAATCATCCATTCGTGTAGAATATCATTAGAAGATTAAAACCATCGAAGCACTCAGAAAGATAAGATAGAGATACATGAAAATGCCATAATCATAACAAAATTTGTTTTTTTGATACTGTCGAAAGGTAATGAAAATCAGATGTGAGACAGTGAGCTTCTTCTCTACGCGTCAATATTCATATTCTAAATGCAGTAGTTGATCTAAATACTTTAAAACCGATTGAGAGTAATTCTATGATAACCCCAAATATTGTGATAATCACAATTTTCAAAACACTATCTTCCACTGAATCAACAATCAGATCACGATTTTTGCGACTTGGGTATGCAATCACGCTATTCATCTTGACAGCTTTCAATAGAAAGAAAGAAAAATAATATTATAGTTTATTTCTTGCAGATGTGGCTTTGTGAATAGACATATCAGTGTGAGTTTCGTACGTATGAATAGAAAGACAAAAACCACATTCGTGTCTCCATAACCTCAAAAATGCACATGATTTTTCTCGCAATGTTGTTGATATTCCAAATTTGGAGAAATACTTATAAAAAAGTCGAGTGTGTCTTCGTACAAGATAATTCATCTATCTGTGAGTGAGTTAGCCTATTAGAAATCCTAAAATACACTTCTTTTAATCCCGCACAAAGTTCCGAGCAAAAGTAGAACAGCATTATTTCCTCATTGAACTTAGTTTCGCATATTATTTTAATTGTTTTGAATCTTGTTAGGTCATATTCATTTTTCAATGATTATCTTGACAGTTTTCTTCTATCAAACTTTAAATAAAATCTATATCTATAGTCAAATTTCAAATAGTATATCGTTACTTACAAAAATCGGATTTTATATGCATATGCTTTATTAAATGCTGTAATCATTTGGTTTTTGTTATAGGAGAATAATTATGATTTAGACTATATATGAATTATATCCAAGAACGATTTATTAGTACGAAAGTATTCATGAAGAAATCTCAAAATAATTTCAATCGAACAATATGCACAAAAGTATTTTAATCAGTCCTTTTTATCGAGGAATATTTCCGATGAGTCTCCGTATTTCAATTCCATTTTATTTTCACCAGAATAGCTTTTGGTTGGAACAAACCATTTGCCTTCGAATTGAGCATGATTCGAATTCCATGTCAATTGCACAGGTACTGCATGTTCGAAGCTTCCTTTACTATTACCACTACCGAATGTATAGACTTTGTGCAGAGCTATCCGTTGGTTCTCCACAGAAAATGTTCCGTCAATGATAAACTTTCCAATATCATCGTATCCGTTTCCAGTCACTCGGCTTGTGGCACGATCGAACGCTAATGACATTAGATATGGTCCATGCCATTGGCCGTTCTGATAATATCGACTCATCCAGCTCCCAGTTTTAAAGCAGTCTTCTTCGTACGTTTTATAGTTTCTATTGCGTTCATTTGCAGAACTTTTATCCACAAAACTTGTATACGATTCTGAAGATCGACTACGATATCGACGGCAACAAAATATAGTGAGTAAGATGATTGCAATTAGACCTAATATACCACCTATTACACTGCCTGCAATGATTCCTGCGGTGCGACACTTTGAACCTTGACAGCTACTTCCACGACTTGCACCACCTAGGATCGATATTTTTCTCAAGAAGATTCATAGTTGAAATGAAATAATTACCTCTATAGCTACTACCACCTCGATTTCCGCCACCCCGAATTCCGCCACGAGCACCCTGGCTATAAAAGATGATGGGGACTAGTGCGACGAACAACAGAAAGTGAAATGTCATGTGCATGTTAATGAAAATTCAGTGCAAAACAGTTGATTTTTACACGTTGCTTATTGTCAATCTCGATACAGATACGTATCAAAGACTGATTCTTTGACAGAAATGAATAAAAATTATGTTTGCTCTATACATCGACTGGTCATGATACTGTTATAGAGAGAGAGAGAAAAATAAGTATGACGCTGAATATTGACAATTTTCTGTTTCACTCATTCTCTTACTATGAAATATACATATGTATTTGCACTATTCAATATTCTGACTGACAGCAAGACAAGCGAAATGCAACACACACATGGCAATGCTCCGTAGTGGTAACAGTATTTTCTCTCGTTGTTCTACGATTGCATGGATTTCATATTCATACAAATGACTATTGACATAACTGAAGTACAGTTAAGAGCGAAAATCACAAGCATATGTGTGTATTCGTTGTAAGAACCACCATACGGCGATCAACTCTAAATGTTTCTTTACAAATGCTTGATGAAATAATAGAATGTATTCAATGAAACGTAACAAACCAATTGGTGATCACTTGCCTGAAAATGCCGCCATTCCCACAGACAAACTAGCTTTGATTAATCGAAAATGTGTTTTTTTTGCGCAAGTTCATACATTTTTTTCTTCGACAAAGATTTAAACAATCTATTGAATGAAAAAAAAAGTTTCATTGTGAAAAGAAAACCAGTGAGATATACATGTCTAAATTGTTTTTTTGCAAACACTATTAGTAAACGAAAGAAACTTGCAAAGAAAATAAGATCTTAATTTTTATTGGATTCGTCATCGATGAAAGAAAATGAAAACCTCAGTTTCACCGTAGAACATTGTACAATTTTTGAAAAGCATTAAAATCTAGGTACAATAATTGATTTATCATTATCTTCTTGCATTTGTTGAGTCACACAATACAATTTTTTCATTCAGTGGCTTTTGCAATTATCGACAGACAACACCATAAAATAAAAAAAATTATTTGTTGAATTTTTACGCTCAAATAAAGAACTATCATAAACAGAAGATCTACTTTTAACTGGATTAGCGAAGGTCAATCATTTGATTCCATTTTTAGGTTCTTTGGAATGATTTTCATCTCTCACGCATATACGTTTTTCGACCATTTGCCACTACTATCCTTATTTTTTAGGTCAACGAAACATAATACCAAATGCTCAAGCATTGAATTTAATTGGGTAAACTTTTTCAACAAACACTAGAGTGTTGATTTGGTTGGAGGAAAGACGCACCTCATCCGCAATGGACAAATGCAGCATAAAAGTCATTGAATATTATCCTTTCCAATCAACTAGGTATTTTTGAACACACTATTATCGGTGCCATGGTTTTTTCAATGTAATTATAATGGAACACCAATTTTCCTCATTCCTTTCGTATTTTTCATTGTTGTGCTTTAATTATTATTATTATATAATGTATTTAATGATTCGTAAACTCTACAGCCGTTTTTCGTTCATATACTGTTGGTGTAGAGTCGCCCACATATCTACGCACACGCACATTGTATTAGATATTGTGAAAATTTTTTAATCATATTTGAAAATAACAGCTGAGGAAGGTATTAAAAATTTTCCAAGATAATTCTGATAGACAAGCAACTTATTTGCATCTGGAATTATTCAAATACACTATTCATGATTGGTTGCTTTTGTCTATAGTTTTTTATCGATAGAAACTAAAGCATATGAATGAATTTGTTAGAAAGTATGTACATTAAGTATCACGCTAGATGATCTTCTTCAGCGAACTGACAAAATAAGGACAGATACAATAGATGATTTATTGCTGTTTCAAAATTATAATCAATATTCATTATTTGAATATCGGAGATATTACTTTGAGAGCATATAAACAAGTACAAAAACCACACAGAAATAAAAGAAAACAATTCGTATTTCTAAAACAATTTTTTTTTCCAGTCCTTCATGCAGACTATTGATTGACTCTTCCATAATCTTAAAATCGACGTTGTAGACGATTGTGAATAACAAAAAAAATCAATATCTGTGCACGGATGGTATAAATCAACAAAAGATATTATGGGTGTAGGCGTGAATGTAGGCTTCCTATTCCGTCACCCACCTACTCCTTTATGGCACGAAACCTTGTAGGATTCTTATCTGCAACATAAGTCCGACTAATAAGCAAAATATCACCTAAAGAGAAAGTATCAGTCGATGAAGTTCCCTCGTCAGTTAATGAATGATGAAATAAGTTTCTATTCATTTCATTCTTGTTACTATTAGTAATTAAGGCACTAGTTCGCATAGTACCGAATCCTACAAGAGTTATTTAGTTTCCTGCTTTACATTGTTGTTCGAACATATTTTTTCAGATCGACAAATCTGTTCGCTCGAATCGAAGCATTTCGCAAACATAGTGAAGAAATACCATCGAAGATCTCAACTATTATTTCATTCAATAAAGAGCTACATTCATGTGGCCATTATACTCAACAAGTCGTCGTTTTTCAGAATAGCCGTATGCATTGTCGTGAAGGCGAAGCTCCAGTATATATGAGTTGTTGTTTGGGAACACCTTTCTTTATATTCTTTCTCACATTTCGTCAAACAGCTCTGTAAACCGGTGGCAACTTGTGCGATGCAATTAAAATGAGTTTCAAAAACAAAAACCATAGTTTAATAATAATCATTTCGATTTTCCGAACATAGAATTCTTTCGAGTATAAATTGAAATATGCGACAAAATATGGTTTTGAATGCTATGTAAGAGAGAAATGTTTTTACACCCAAGTAGGGCGGTGTTTCTTTATTTTTATTTCATATTTCCTTTTGGTTATATCAGTAAGGAACGCTAATATAGAATCAAGTGAAACAGAAAACAAATACTACGTGCACAGAATAATAAAACATATGAATATGAGAAAAGTGTCATGTTAATCATTAAAGTAGGAGAAAGCAGTGAGTAGCAACATAAAGTTCTGTTCTTGAGCTGCTGTTATTCCACTAGGCAATCATTTATTTTTTACCAATACTATGTAATATACGAAGTGTTGGTTCGATTGATCTAATATGAATATGAGATTTTGGATGAGCAAGTCCTGCAAGAGCATTTTCGGCCATACTGAGAAACACTTCCGAGCCGGCCACATAGACATGTGTATCTGGTTTGATTTTACCGTGAAGATGCTCCTTCGAAATTGGTTCTTCTTGTGTCAAGATTAGGTATTGACCATGTGGAAGTATTTTATGTAATTTGCCGGCAAAGGCAGCATGATCTTCACTTCGTACACACTGAATTAATGATGCCGAAGCTGCTTTTCCTTGTTGTTGCAATTCTTGGATCATCGACATGAAAGAAGTAACACCGATACCACCACTTATGAATAAGTGACTCTTTCCATCCTTGGCCATTGCAAAACTACCAGCAGGAGGTGAAACTAAAACCGTGCTGCCAACTGGATGGTTCTCAATCATATCGGTTGAGACAATGCTATTTTGATCAAGATCATTTCCTTGCTTAAAAGCGATAGTATAATTGTAGCCATTGAATGGTTCAATTAGAGGATAGTGTCCATGATGAAGTACACCATTTTTTTCAATGCGCAATGTAATATATTGTCCAGGATGATAATCCCATAGTTTTCCACCGTCTTGACGTTCCAGACTCATAGCATAAATGGGTCCACTTGCGATGACATCACTCTTGAGAACAGTGAATGGAGCGAAACCTTTATCACGTTCATCGGTGCCAAGTTTGTCGTACAATTCCTTTTCCAATTTGATAAATGTTGCTGCAATAAGATCATATACACCTTGCCATGCCGCCATTAATTCAGGTGTTGCTTGGTCACCCAAATGTTCTTTGATTGCTTGCAATAAATACTTGCCGACAGCTGGGTAGTGTTCAGGTTTGACAGTGATGGCGCGATGTTTGCTAGAAATACGTGCCATCTGTGGTATCATAACATCTAAATTGTCAATATTTTCGACGAAATAAAAGACGGTTTGTGCCAATGCCATAGGTTGTTTTCCAGTTTTTTGATTGGTTTGATTGAAAAAATTGCGATATTCTGGTTGTTCTTTGAACATTGTGTTATAGAATTTTGTTGTTATTTCTTTACCATGCTCCTTCATGATATGTGCATTAGCTTTAACAAGTTTCTTTTGTTCTTCAGTAAGACCCATTTTGATTCTAGAACACAAAGCAGAATTTGTCTGTTTTGTTAACAAAAAAAAAACACGACTAGAACTTCTCCTTCTTCTGTATTTCAAGTCAAAATCATCAGAAGGTGGTTTAAACTGCGCTTTATATTTAGCAGGTTACTAAGTGGCAAAAGATCTTTTCTTGCTTGAAAAATGTACAGTTTTTCATGTATAAGACAATTATTTATTTTCATTCACCCGTAAACATTCAGAAGAAACCTAGAATCCAGTATGCTGCTAGAAATAGCTCACAAAACCGAGAGTATCTAATTATGTTTCGGGCAAAATAGCTGTTTGCCGCAGTTGCTCAGAATTGAACTCTTGACTGACAGTAAACACTTAGCCTCTAGAAAAGACTTAAATCTACATCATTTGAGAGCACATATTCAACTTAGCAGGGTAAACTCCATTTAGCTGTACGAAATATTGTTTTTAGTTTCACAACAACAAACATTTTCGGGACTTGACTCTTCGAAAACGCTCATGATTTTCCGATATCGACCGCCCGCTCTTTATATACGCTGGAAAATCAAAGCATAGAATAATAAAATGTGAAAGTATTTATGAAAGTAGAACACATAATAAACCTTTTGTTACCGTCTGTGAAATTTTCATAAACTCTTAATGAACCTATTCGAGATCGTCACTCAATATAACTTTAAGATCTACATACCCTAGTTGAGAAGCATATTCTTATCTTAAACAAAATCAAAGCAAAAAAAAAACTTTCCTAAATGTACTCAAGCTGAAGTCACTGATCACTGTGTATTATTGTAGTTCATGATAAAACGTATTTCAATCGATCAAAATGAAACATAATCAATTCTAATCTAATTTACTAGCATTTTATGCGATTTGAATAAGTTTAAATTGGAATGTGAATCTTTAAGTGTAACTCGTGTCTCAAAGACTGGTCTATTATTATACTTACTTTTAGTTGAACTGATGCGTTCGAAAAAGTAATCAAGAATTTGAGTTTCTAAAATAAAACGAGAAAAAAACACGTGTTTTATTATTATTTCGGTTAAAATCGATAAAAAAACTAAATAATAGATGTACATTAATTAAAAATCAAATTTTTAAGTTTTCTTTTTTACATTAATGACTCATGGACACCCATTCAAAATCCGAAGAGTCATGCCCACCCATAGTTTTGTTTCCTAAAAGTTTTAACCTATGTGCTGGGCTTGATCTAATCTATTTAGAAGCTCTGAAGACTAAACTATGTAAATGAACTAAAAATAAAGGTATATTAACTCTAACTGTATTAGATGAGAAATATGATTATTTTCGATGAACGTCGACTAAAATTAAATGGACATTAACTCTACCGAAGGAGTCGGTTCGGATGATTAATTGCTTTTTAAACTGTGTCTATATTCAATCAATAGAGCCTAGTGAGTAGGCAAATATCCTAGAATGGCTCAATTTTCTAGGCCTTTATTACTAAGATATTGAATTTTTAGTGAATTTCCTGTGCAGGACTCCAGTTTTCCAGTTAAATTATATTTTCGAATTTTTGAAATCCAAACAAATGAATTTGAATAGAATTTTAATTCTTCTAAATTGAATTTATATTGATTTAAACTCGATTTAAATTAATTTAAATCAATCAAAAAAAAAATTTTAATTTTAAAAATTTCAAAAAATCAAAAAATTTTAATTAAATTTTAAAAATTTTAAAAACTTAAAAAAAATTAAACTTAATATAAGTGCATTTGAAGTCAATTTGAATTTAAAATGAATTTAAATTTTTAAAATTTATATTTAAAAAAAAACGTAAATTTTGATATCTAAAAAATGTATACTTCTTTTAAATTTAAGTTTCTTAAAATTTATTTTCGGATTTATTAAATTTTCGTAAATGTAAATTGATCATCCCTAGATTTGCATAACTGTCGTATAACTTGGTGCTATAATAACGAAGGTTTTAGTTACTATTTAGAAGAATGAGATGAATATCAATTTATTCCATCATTCATTAGCTGAGAGAGAACAACAGAAAATGTAGTTTATACTTAGAGCATACCAAAAGTAGTGATAGTGGTATTTCAATACCGTTTAGTAAGCTTAAATACTATTCTGTCTAGATGAAATGACATTACAAACAATACATTTCATTTTTATGACATTTGATTGTCCTCCAACTAATATAATAATAACAAAATTTCCATTAAGATCTGTTTTTTTATGGTAAATTACGATTACATTGGATTATATTTCTCTTCGATATGTATTCTCTTTTTGACATTTTCCCTGTTTTGCTCTATTAGTCAGGCGATGACCTTTTTCAATGTTTTCAGATGTTGTTTTGATTTCTAGGTCTGCTAGAACGTTCTTCATTTTCCAGGATATATGTGTTTCTATATACATATATAGACGGCTACGTATTGAAGGAGACGAGAAAAATAGAGAGGAGAAGAACAAAGAGAATTTGAAGAAGAAGATATACATTGAAGGAAAATATGATCTAATATAATCGTTACTTATTATAAGAAACAGATCTTGACTGAAATTTTATTATTATGATATTAGTTGAAGAATGATCGAAAATCAGAGAAATAGAGAGCATTTCATGTACTAACAGTTTACTATACGATATTAAAATATGACTGTTACTACTTGTGGTATGCCCTAAGCATTTTATTTGATGGATATCGCGAGATAAGATCCAATATAAATATGGAAATTTTACTTATGCTTATATATCCAGGAGTATCACGACCAGGGGGAGAGGATGTAAGAGTGTCTACCATCTGGTATCGAGAAAATTTTTCATTCTTTCCTAGTGGAAATCTAGCACTTTTTCGCTTTTTTACACACCAACGTGTCCAAAAAGTCATCGACTACTTCTCAAGGTAAATGGTCGATCATCTTCTGTGACGAAGAGAAGCTGATCTTCTCTCAATCGTATGTGTCTCGTGGCATTCCTATATGTATCTTCAGATTAGAAGCAAAAATATTTCAAGATCTATGAAAATAGAAGAAGAGTAAAAAAGAAACACAAGAGATACTACCAAAGATTGGCCAAGATGGGATACTCTTTCTTACCTCGTATGGCGTATTCAATAAATGATATTCTACTTTACTTGAAAGTCGTTTATATATCCAGAAAATAGGCGATGAAAATAGAATTCATATGTCCTTCTGTTATATTTTTTCCTGCTTTGTTGCTATATCTTGAAGACCTATTAAGATATGCTACATTGAATATATTTTTTAGCTCGATATGGATGAGACCGTTTGCTAATTGTCGAATCGGATTCGCGAACGTAACCAGTTTATTTTTGTCATTTCCAGAAAAGTACATCCACACACACGGTAGCAGGAAAGTACAAACAATCTACAATAACCACAAAGAGAATAAGATCAAAAGAACTACAAGCAAAAACCGAAGAAAAAAAAGACAGAGAATCAGAATTATCAGTATAAAGTATGACGAACACAATAACCTTCTCAATATGTATGGAAACTGAAATACTAATGGTTAGGTGTGTTACTTTATATTTACTGTACGAAATAAAGATAAAGATAATCATTATATTTATAAAATAAAAATAATATATTCTTATAAAATCTTAATTTAATGTTAAATAATTCTCAGTATTTTATTAAAAATACTCAATTCGAGTGATATTTGGCATGTATCAATAGAAAAAAAAACATTTTAATATCTAAGAAGTTCTTACAGATTCTAATAGCAAGAAAATTCTGCATCTAATGAGTCTATTTTCAACAAATTCAAATAGAATATTCATAGGTCTTTATATCAAAAACTGATTTTTACGGCTTCCAAAATGTGCTTTAGATTTTTGTTATTATTCAATACGCTTTAAATAATAAGGTGATATTTGTAATTAGCTTACTTAGTTCTATCGAACTATAAAGACTTGTAATAGAACGATAATCAAAAATTATTTTCGATACCTGAGAAGGACCTCAGGAGGGTGAAAACTGGAGTTGTGATACAATGCAAAATGAACAATGAACTTGTGACACACAACCATGGTTTAATGTCAATTTTTCGGACTAATAAAAGCAGAGTCAGGTATTTTGAAACGAGAAGTCTCTAGTTCGACACATCTCCTTGACGTATAGTTTTCTTTTAAGAACCAGGGCCTGCTACCCTCTTAAATTATAAAGAAAACACCTAAACTAGAAACATTAAATGCTGAAGATTCAACCTTCTCAGAATGATTTTTTTCATCTTCTTGATTACATTTTGTTTTCATTTACAATCGATTAAAATAAAAGAAAACAGTTTTCTCCTTCTTGTTTATATGTCAGTCTGTCATATTTCTCTGTTTGGTTTATTGATATACGTGTTGAAAAGATATGAAGATGTCCGAAATTGAATATATGTATTACCTCGATAAGATAAGACCTTTTGTTAATTATCGAATCAGATACGCGAGCGAAGCCAGCTTATTTTTGTCACTTTTAAAAAGGACATGTTCTCATATGGAGCGAAGAAAGTACAGAGTCTACGCCAACCACAGAGAGAGTATGATAAAGAGAAGAAGAAACACAAAGCGAAGAAAAAGAAGACAGAATTGGAATAATCAGTACAGAGTATGACGAACACCATAACCTTCTCGATATGTATGAAAGCTGGAATACTGATGATAAGGTGTGTTACTTTATATTTACTGTACGAAATCAAGATAAAGATAATCTTTATATTTATAAAATAAGAATAGAGAAATTACGAAATCCTGATTGACCATAAAACAATCTTCATCCTTTGAATTGATATACATAATTAAGACGCTATTTGACATGTATCAATAGGAAAAGCATTTCAATACCTGAGACGTTCTTATAGGTTCTAATAGAAAAACTTTTTGCATTAAATGTGTCTATTTTCAACGAATTCAACTCGTATATTCAAGGATCTTTATATCGAAAACTGACTTTTAGGGTTTCCAGAAAGTGCTGCACATTTTTGTTCTTATTCAATGAGTTTAAAAAAATGATAATCA